TACGTACCTATTTTGCAAACAACTGGTATTACTTATGTTGTAAAATAATAAAAAAAAATTACAATGTTATACGATTTTATAACAATAATTAAATTATTAATAAAAATAATATTCGAAGAAACTGTTTAACTGTATTATTTATTAGTTGTATGACGCAGGTTTATCCTAAGAATCCTAAAGGCAAATATAATATATGGCATCTATATATATTTAAATCGGTAATATCTCAGGTAGCAATTAATCGTGATATTGACGTCGATTTTCAGTTATTGACCCTAAAATGATTTAAACTGACGTCTTATTTCAGTTGCAGACATCAACCTGCTACCAAAGATGGAATGGTAACCCCGATTGCACTATCGCATTACGCTGGTGTAACACCAGTGATAGATGATAGGTAAGAACGAAATAGGTCAATTAACCAAGATGGTTTCTAAGGGAGACCGAGTTGAGGTCGACCTGATAGGGTATTTTTTTAATGGGTGATAATGGAATGGTATCGGTATATACAGGCGGGGCACTGATGAAGGATGATAGATGAGGATGAAGCAAGTCTGAAGGATGAAGAATTGTTCACGATGGTTTCCAGGGGTAACCATGTGGAGGTCGACCTAATAGGGCTAATATTGCTAGTAATGGGGCTGTCGAACTCCATTGCTAACAATCCTTTTCCCCACAACCTGATAGGGTAGATGGCATCCTATATTAGCTTATAGGATACTTTTATACTAATTATTTCTTGCCTATCTCTGTATCATTGCTTTTTTTATTAAGCTTAAAATATTAATGTATAAGCAAATATTTTTCAAACGTTTCCGTCTTTACATCATTAATGAGATCTGTCCAGGTTTATTCTCAAATAGTTAGAAGAGTGGTAAAAGTTTACAAATTTCTTAATTATATATTGCTATATGTCGAGGCATAGATTAGGTCACTCCTTCCATTCCCGTGGGTGTCGTAAGAAGCGACTAATAGAACTAAGAACGAGGATTGAACAGCAGCGTTCCTCTTAGAACATCTCTAAAAGTCTAACTGCAGTTGCCAACCCTCCTGCTAAACATGACAACTACTAGCGATACCTTAAAAGGCTGATATGTTGATGAACCCTTAAATACCTTAAGTTTCAAATTTGATACCGAGGTTATAAATCACATTGGACGCCTACAATCGATTTTATTTTAATATTTGGCTGTTTACATGTTACCAAAAGTTTTTTTTCAAAATAAATATATAAAAATATTTAGATTTTTATATAAATATAAAAAATACTAATGAGTAAACAGTAAAGGATACACTTATATATTTTTAATTTGATTAAAAAAAAACAGGCTTTTAAAGGTTAAATTATATTGTACATTTAAATGTCTGACACATAGAGATTTTGCCAGTAGATTACAAGTGTGGTGGTGTAGCGGTTTAACACTCTTTACGATGGTTTTGAGTTCGACCTCCACACGATCTGTATGCACGAGCTTTAGTTATGTTTTCGATGTTTTTTTTTTATACAACTTAGAATGGCAAACAAGCTGACGGCCCACCTGATGGAAAGTTGCCTATAGACATGAGCAGTACCACGTATATAACAGAGGATACTGTTTTGCCCATGATATCCCCCCCCCCCTCCGATTATTCTTCAAAATTCTGTAAAATCACGCCATATCCCACCCTTTAAACCGAAATAGCCATGCAAACACAACTGTTTTAAGGTTTAAACACGAATGGGACAGAGGTACCCAAGCAAACGACTTTTGTACAAAGTCTCCCTCAGTGTTTAGAACCCATAGTGCAAGATTTGCTTACTTTGGGACTATATGTTGTCGAAGATAATTATTATTAACGATTAGGTATTAAAGTTTCACAAGATCTCACCGGATTATAAAATAAAACTCAAGCGCACATAGCCACCGTTTTATTATAATATTACAATTATATAATCATTAAAAGACTATCAAGTAATTCAGTACAATATAAAATGATATGATTTGCTTACTTATAAATCGTAGGCGTAATACAATAGTTCGATATCATTGCAAACTGTGACCGATTCTTTTATACAGTATAAAATTTTCAAAATATATAACCAAAGTGGTGCAGACGAGGGACATTTTGTTCGCCGTGGACAAAATTTCCGTTAAAATCGTCATTAGCACACGAACATATATGTATTTATTTTTAAAAATTCTATTTGTATTTTGATAACAAAAAATAACACCGAAGATTATCCCTCGCCTATGCAGATTCTAAATATCACAAAAATTCACTATTAGTAATAATATAATATTAAATATATACAATATAATTATGTAATGTATACAATTATGTTAAAAAGTCTAAACCGGTCAAAAGTATTGTGGACTGAAAACAAAAAAAGTAGTCAAAATTGTGTCAAGTTCAGGCCTTAATACGCGGAACGATCCATAGTTCGAACTTATCGAATCAAACGAGCGAGTGCAGATTATAAAGAAAAAAATATAAGATGCATATTTATTTATTTATTTTTTATACCACTGAGGTGGCAAACAAGCATATGGCCCACCTGATGATAAGTGGTTACCGTAGCCTATGAACACCTGCAATACCAGAGGTATTACGCGTGCGTTGCCGACCCTGAAGAAACCTCTTTACCCCCCTTTTGAAGAACTTTATTTTATTGCACCAATATTACAGTTAAAGGATTTTCAATAAGCATAGTGTAGTACAAAAGGTGGTCTTATTTCCTTTTTTTTTTTTAAAAGTTCTTTTGACCGGCTGGAAATTTTGACCATAACACAAGAAATAAAAGTTAATTTTCAAAACATTATAATTTTTTTTAATTATAGATGTAAAATGATACTGCCCAATGGAACTGCACTGTTACAAAAATTTAAACAATCATCAACCAAAAGCATGTAAAGAAGCATGTATAGTAAAGTGTTTAAAAAAAAATAGGGAAACCCCAAGAACTTAATATTAAACTTAACAAGTAGCAAATATTTATCAAATGTAATGAGTTGCAATGTAAGAGCTATGGTCTTTTATCCAGATTGCCATTTTTTAATACCTAATAATAGAACATCAATATAATAAATCTACTATAATGTAATATAAATAATATGACAATATAATAACATTTACAATTTTAATAATACAGTATAATAGAGACATTCAATTGACTTGGTTTTCGTTGAAATCTCGAATGAGCACTGCCTCGGTTTTAAATCTATATCTAACAACCGATCGGAAGAAAATATAGTAAAAAAAAAATATTAAATAAAGTATTAAAATAAAATTAATCTTACATTAGTTAATAATTGTCAAATAATAATTAAAAAAAAAAACTTAAATGATCGATTATTTTTCAAGTATAATTTATAATGTCTTTGCTACTGTATAAATTATACTTAAAACTTAATTTTAATTAGTATAAACAAGGGCTTATTGCGCTATCATTTATATAAAGATCATATTTATTTTAGAGTTATAAACATAGAGCATAGGGCGGCAGAAACAGGTAACTTTACAGTTTAAAGTTCGTCATGAAATTTGATATACATATAGTACTGTTGAGTTTTTTTTCGTCTTCTGCTTCCGAATCCAGTATACTTAAAAAAAAAATACGATTTAGAAGCACTTTTAAACAAATCTAAAAGATGATTTGAATTTACTTATTTAGTTTATTAAGGAGGATAATGTTGACAAGAATTAAAAATATAACGAGAATATATTCTGAGGCATAAAAATGAATATCTAATTTTAAAACACTTTATTCAAATTAAAATAACATAAATAAATTTTATAAATTGATCTAGATATGATCCTATATCGTCATAGTCTACGACTGACGGATCTGACCAAGATTACATATAAAGATCCGTCAGTATTCTACGACTATGACGATATATTTGTTACTGCAACAAGCCTTATGAAAAGTTTATATATTTACTAATGTATACAAATAATAAATGACCAAAAGAGTAAAAAGTATGAGCAAATAATGAGAATTACATTAAACCTTACACACTGAAATGGTGACTTTTATGATACCCTAAAATAATATAATTTGCAATTCATATAATTTTCTAAGCGAATCTGCAAAATGACTGGTAAGCGATTTGTTGTAAATTTCTAATAGTTCGACATTTATATATTATGTATTTGAACTTATTTTATTTTCAAAACTTTCAGTTAGCGTATTGCAAATATATATTGTTTTAGGATAATCCAAAGTAACCATTTTAATTCTTTTTTACTACCTAATTTAAACCACATTCATTTTACTGTTACATCGAAACAGCGATATTAGAATAATTTCAAAACTAGTGATATTAATTGATCGATTTTGTTGGTAAGGTAAGGTAAATAGGTAGTTTTTTTACTTACATTCTTTTTCAAAATACTACTATATAATTATGTATGGGAGCGCCTTGAAACGACTAACCATTGTAACAAAAAAAAAAAAAAAAAGAAAATAAAACGCTTTTTCATAGGTCATTTACATTACATTTGCACTTTTGTAAATAAAGAACAAAAAAAATAATCTCATCTTAATAAGTTGATAAGAAATTTGTTACAAGAACAATTTGTTCTTATCAACTGGTCTTAATAGAGGAAAGGGATTATTAGTAATGGGGACTACCAGCCCCTTTGCTAACAATATTATACCAATAAAGATATAACATAACATATACCCTGTCAGGTCAAATATCCCCCCCACTCAACCCTAGAAACCATCGTGCTGAATTACAGGTGTTTTCATCACGATATACTTTTTTAACGATCCAGCATATATATATATATATATATATATATATATATATATATATATATATATATATATATATATATATATATATATATATATATATATATATATATATATATATATATATATATATATATATTTAATATTTTGCTTTGATAGGCAATTAAAATGTTAATTATATGGCAAGTTGCATATTAATGTGGCACTACAATTTTTTTCTTTATTAATAGATTTGCTTTTGAAGTTACATCAATTAGAGATCTCCTTTAGATTCTGATAGGTGCAAAAGGAAAGACATAAAACCTTTTTTTTTTTTTTAAAAAAAGAAACCTAAATGACAGTGAAGCCACTATCAAAATCCAGAGCACCGTTCACAAGATATGAGTGGGGAAATAGAGGTGCTCGTTTGTTTTATATTATTTAAATATGATTGTTTTCAGAACGTTATTCGGTTTCATGAATATTGGTAAGCTTGATTTATTTAGGTTTACGCTTCACCCTTATTTTTGAACCTGTACGCGGTAGTTTGGTGAAGTTGTATGGTTTCATGCACGCGGATAAACTTGGTATACCTATTACCATTATTTTCATTAGGGTGACTATGCTTCAGCCTTAGTTTTAGACCTGTCTGTGACTATATTGATAACGTCAAAAAATTTATTATTTGGAAAGTTATACAAATCACGAATACTGGTCACCTTGGTATACCTTATTGGGGTATCTACGCTTGACCTTCAGTCCCAGGTCTGTCCGCGGCTGTGTTGACCACCTCGCTTTCTGGTACCCTTTCGTGTTCAGGCCTGTTCCGACGGCAGGGTGGAATTTTAACCAGACCATTGTACATCGCCGTGCCCAATATCAGGACAGCAAATCCGATGAGGTGTGGCCAGTGGAAGTCCTGCCACCTCACGGCGAGGGAGACCATCCATATGACGAATGTCCTGTGTGAAAAAAAATTGTTAATATGTTTCAAAATGTGGTTTCGGCATGGAATTGGTTGCCTCTTCCTTTCACATGGGTGTCGTAAGAGGCGACTAAGGTATACTTAATGGTTGAGGAATGGGCAGCAAGGATCCTCTTCAAACTTTACTACAGTGGGGGAAAAGGGATTGTTAGTAATCGGGTCTAATCAACTCATTGTTAGCAATACACCCTATTTTTTTTTTATGGGTGAAAATGGTATGGTAACCCCGCCTGCGCTAATGGGATACGCTGGCGGAGCACCAGTGAAGGGTGATAGATGAGAATGAAAACAGGTCAGTTAGCCCATCATGATGAATTCATCAGGAATTAACCATGATAGTTTCCAGGGAGAATCGTGAGGAGGTCGACCTGGATGTGTATATTGCTAGCAATGAGATTCTTAGTCTCCACTACTAACAATCCCTTTCCCCCCAATACACCCTATTAGGTCGCCATCCACGCGGTTCCTCCTGAAAACCGTCATAGTTAATTCTAGTAGAATTCGTCACGATGGGCTAACTGACCTGCCTTTTCATCCTCACCCTTTATCCATCGCTGGTGCCCCGTCAGCGTATCCCGATAGCGAAGTCGGAGTTTACCATTCCATTATCATCCATTAAAAAATATATCACTAAAGCCTAATTGCAGTTGGCAACGCCGCTTGCCATACGTGACAACTACTGGCAAACCCCAATAAGGGGAGTTCTATGTTCCGCTTTGGATAGTAAAATGGCTGATGTGATATGTTGTACATATCATATAAGTTTTATATATTCTAATGAAAATAGAGTTCATGGTAATAATAATGATTTTGAAGAGGCTATTGATGATGGCTGATGAAACTGAAGGTATGGTACAATATCGGTGCTAGATTATAAAGTTTATAGATTGTAAAAGAGAAGAAACAATAAAAAATATGTAAAAGCGAGATAAAAAAGATATTCATCTACTTTTTTTTTATACAACTTAGAATGGTAAACAAGCTGACGGCCCACCTGATGGAAAGTGATAACCGTAGCCTATAGACATGAACAGTAGCATGGACATAACAGAGTATACTGTTTCGCCCATGATACCCCCCCCCCCCCCAAGCGTTGCCATTCTTGAGGACTCAGGTGTTATTCCTCTGTACCCTGTAAATTCACACCATATCCCACCCTTCAAACCGAAACACAGCCATGCAAACACAACTGCTTCACGGTAGAAACACGAATGGGACAGAGGTACCTAAGCAATCGACTTTTGTACAGTCTCCCTCTGGTGCTACTTGTGCAGATATAAGCTCGAAGCTGATTTGGTGGGAGAATAAACAAAATAAATTCTGACTATTTTTACTTTTTGAATAATTATAATAGTTTTTAGTGAATGTAGTTGGGTAAAGTGTGCTACATTTAGATATGACATATGTAAATTAGTAAAAAAAGGCTACAAAATTGTAATTTTTTTCACACAATTACCCTGTAAGTGTGCACTCACCGTATAGAGTCTAAAACCATTCGTGTAGTGGCGGACATCTCTTTGGTGACGCTTATGCCGGCGAAATTGAAGAACGCTATGGACACTATCGTACCCAATATGGCAGCTAGCAGAACCGGGTTATTGCCTGAATGTTAAATAAACATATTGTATAATTTTGATTAAATAATATGATAATGATATGATTTAATTGTATAATTTTGTTCGATTGATTACTAATCAATAGTTCAGGAAAATTACAAATTATTCGATTTTGAAAATAGTGTTTTATAAAGAGTAGTAATAAGCTAAGCGTTTTTTTCTTGTGTCTACATATAATATGTTAGTCACACTAGCGCCGTGATGTGGACAATCCCTTGGCGTGCTAAGAATTGCATAGTTTGTGCAAACAGCGGGTCTACCATGAAATAAAATTCCGAAATTTGGGATTCAATTTCGTGTTTTTGTTTATACCAAAATCGGACCAATAAATGGAGTTTAACATTTCGTTCGTCATACATCCTATCATAAAAGTCCAAAGGAACAATATTTTAACATTTTGAATATTCCCAAACGGCATGTATTATGTAATTTTGACATAAAATTTCTGTTTCGTTTGGCTCCGAAATTTCGGAAAACATTTCATGGTAGGCCCTTAGGCATATTATTAAATGAAAGAACAAAGGTTTTAATAATGTAGCTTTCTATAAGTAAAATAATTTAAAATATATTATTTTTTTTTTATTTATCCATTATAATAACTAAAACAATCAAATCTTTATAATATTAATTTTGTGTTAGTGTTTTTAATAGCATGAATATCTAAAGTATTTTCAAATGGGGACGATGCTACAGGGAATAGCTAGTCAATGACAACAGAACATACTTATTTGCACGAGTCCATCGATCGCGTCTTCGACCGTGCCCCTCGCGTTATTTCCAAAGTGCGGTGGTGCTGGTATCCAATAGAATATTACTAGCAACACGGACAGCACAGAAAAGCCGAACACGCCTTCCCAGCCGACCGCTTGCAATGGTGGGATGTTCAACCCTAGAAGTGGATACAAAAATCTGTTTTAAAGTACCATTTGTGTTGTGTTTGTTTTTGGAAAATTTATGGATAAGACAATCAGACTTTGCTCTGTATATAGAAATAACGCTTTAAATTGTGAATAAAAAATTATAATTGGACCAAAGCGGGAGTCAATCGATATAGGGTGATAGCAAAAAGAATTATCCAAATCAGTTCAGAGTTGACGAAGAAATTTGAGAAAATTTGTTTTAAGATTATGCAGCTATCTGTACGCTTTCTTTATTTTTAGTGACTCCCGGTGAGTTTATTATTTCGCTTATATTTTTGGGTGTATTTTACGAAATATCTTCGCTAATTCTTAATCCATTTTTGCCTTTTATTCATTAGCTTTTTGCCTTTTATTCGTAGCTGTAGGAAAAATAATGAAATATGTATATCACTCCTTCTATATCACGTATCACCATAAAACATACACCAAATTTTAAGTTAGACATTTAGGAACACAGCTGCTGAAAACCGAATCCAATTTGGTGCAGTAGTTTTTGTGTGGATGTACACAACAACAAACAGTTGGACAAAATTTACAAAATATATTATTGTGGCTTCTATTGCTCTTATTATTAAGACTCCTGATATAAATTTTTCTTAAATAACTCCCATGTTCGGATATCGTCTAGTTACAATATAATTATATTAATATGATAGGAGTCTTCTATGTATTGCGACTATGCGTATTTTAGAAGAATTATAATTGTTTTAAGTGAATATAGTAAAGTAAGTAATATGACATAAATTAGGAAAAAATGTAATTTTGTTTTTTTCCTAATTTATGTTCATTCTATTCTAGTTTCCTTATAAGTTTAAATATTGGAAACCAGACATACCTAATTGGCGAAATTGTAAAAAAAAAATTGGGCATTCTCCTGTTGTTACCTGCGACATATTTCTCTTCATACACCATCTGACAGGCGCTAATGACCTGTGCTACAATTATGAGTAGGTCGCCTGTGATCAGGCTGTTCCTGCCCTTGGATTCGCCGCTGGACTGGAAAATGGCGTCGGTCGCTCCCACTATTATTAAACCGATGATAACATTGACTGAAATAAAAAAAAGTATTGTTTATTAATATGAGCAGAGGGGATCTTCTTATTTGTCTTTTTTTAATGTTTTTAAAGTTGTCTCCCAATGACAATGACCCCTTGCCTGCGCTATTGGTATACGCTGGCGGGATAGCAGTGAATTGGGTAGGTACCTCTATACCATTCGTGTCTCTGCCGTAGAGCAGCTGTTCTCGTGTTATTACTTTGCAAGAAGGCATAACACCACAGTCCTCGGAAATGGCAATACATGAAGACAAAGATATTACATTATATTCTGTCATGTTCGTGGCACTGTTCATGTCTATAGATGACGGTTACCTCTTTCAATCAGACACTGTTATTTTATAAATTGCATTGAAAATATAGAGTCACTTATGTGAACATAGCTTAAAGAACCGATAAACGATGGTGAAGAATGGTTTTTAAGTGGCAATCCCGTATAGGCAAACGCAAACTAGGAAGACCCCAGACTAGATGGTGTGACGACCTCAAAAACATTGCAAGGAGTCAGTGAATGATCGGGCCTGTTCCTTATGGTAGTCTATGGGGGAGGTACATGTTCAGCAGTGCCCAGATGACGGCTGATATGATGATGATGAGATACAACATATTTTACATCAATGTGAATATATTATTAATTATTATTTACCAGAGGGAGACTTTGTATAAAAGTCGATTGCTTGGGTACCTCTGTCCCATTCGTGTTTCAACCGTAAAGCAGTTGTATTTGCATGGCTGTGTTTCGGTTTGAAGGGTGGGATATGGCAACAAACGCATTAATTTTACCGGCTTATCGTTTTTATTTCACATTATCTTCTGAACATCTGTTCAGAGCCAGTCCAATGTTACTTTCAAAGTAAATTTTTGTAATAATAAACACGAAATAATGAACGAGTAAGCTAGTCCCACGTCACTATCGGAATAAAAGCTAAACTGTGTCACAGCCACCAGGTAGTTTAGCGATGAAATAAGGGTATAATTTCAAAAGATCCCTCACCGTTTCATTATCATTAATCATTTATGATTCAGTCACATAAGTAGCATTTATATTTGGGTAGATACTTTTTAGTCTTTGCTGACTGGACGTTGTTAGAATTTTTTTTTTACAGAAATTTAAATAAAACGCCTAAAGATTACAGTGATATGAGGCTGATAGAAGAAATAAATGAAATTAGACACTTACTACACTTACTTTGTACAAAAGTCGATTGCACCTCTGTCCCATTCGTGTTTCAACCGTGAAGCAGCTGTGTTTGCATGGCTGTTGTTTGGTTTGAAGGGTGGGTTATAGCGTGAATTTACTGTGTACAGAGGAATAACACCTGAGTCCTCAGGAATGGCAACGCATGGGGGGTATCATGGGCGAAACAGTATACTCTATTATGTCCATGGTACTGCTCATGTCTATAGGCGACGGTTACCACTTTCCATCAGATGGGCCGTCAGCTTGTTTGCCATTGTAAGTAGTATAAAAAAAATACATTAGGTCACATTGTTTGCAACAGATATATCCATATGTTTAACTTGTGGGTGATTCACAATTTTAGTACTGTACTGATGATCACGTACCTTATTTTCTTAACCTAGATAACTGTGTATATGATTCATTGTTTTGCAATTACAACAGCACGAGACAAAAATATGATTTGCATTATTGTAATATTATATACTGGTGTCATGACTCATAAAAATATGTTATAGTGACCGATCAATGGCTTGTTTTATTAAATTACAATATGATAATTGAATACAAACTAATTATGAAAGCGGATTAACCAAAAGCTGTGTAGTAGTACCATTCAGAATGTAATTTCAGCTGAGAAGAATGATCAAGAAAGTCAAATGTTATTTTTTTCGAATGAAAATCGATTTGACTATTTATTTATTTATTTCTTATTGCATTCCATAATATAATTAGTAGATAACATTTCAATTATGGATTCTGTTGGGCACAGAAATTAGGAGAGAGGAGGACAACACTTTTTTCACTATTTACTATGTAATTAGTTGTATTAAAGATTTTTACATATTTATTTTATTTATTTTTTAAACTGTAATACACAGTGTAATTGTATTTATATTTGGCGGATTTAACACCGAGATGATATTCCCTAACAGTCGATTATTGGGTAAATTATTGAATACTTTACATATTTATATATTATAAACATATAATAAGACTAATATTAGCAGTTGAATGGAAAAGGATGCTTTTGCATTCAAAGTTCGATATCTCGGAGACAAATGGTCCTAATTGAGCCATCCAAAGCGATTTTTGAAGCTGAATAAACACGCTAAGAGACCTATACAATGGAGTAGCTCGAAAAAATTTTTCCATGCCCATAGAGTGAAAAACGAAACCTAGAAAATTTAGAAAAAATTTATTTTCAGCTTTATTTAAGAATTGCATGGAAACCGGAGCTCAAAAAATTTTTTCACCAAAAAATCTGAAAACTAGAGTTTTCAAGCTTCAAAACCCTTTTTTTAAATTTCCTGTACGATTATTTTTCACTGAAATACAGCCTGTTGAATATTACCCAAAAATTTCAAAAAATTTTATGTTCCCTTAATTTTTGCGAGGAGTGTATAAACATATACAAAATATGTATAAAATTATTTATATTACTTTACTTATATTAGTATATAAAATAATATGCCTTATAGTCCCGGCATAGAATGGATCACCCCTTGCTTTCCCATTGGTGTCGTAAGAGAAGACTAAAGTAACTTAATAGTCGAGGCAGCAGTGTCCCTTTTAAAACATCACCAAAGCCTAACTGCGGCTGCCAACCCGTCTACCAATCCTAGCAAGAATAGTTTGGATAAACCCCCCAATAGGAAGAGATCTATGTACAACAGTGGGCAGTTTACGGCTGATATCGTCATAGTCGTAGAATACTGACGGATCTTTATATGTAATCTTGGTCAGATCCGTCAGTATTCTACGACTATGACGACATGATGACAATGATGATCAAATATTCGAACCCATAATAGATAAAATTCTGAATTGATACTAATCGTCCTTTCCGCGGTGGACAGGGTTTGCTCACATAATGTGGAATTAATCCCATATTAATTTATTGTCGAATGATTCTAAATCGTCTGTGTACAGTAAAAAAGTACATACATCGCCAGGAAACACATAGAAATATAGCATTCAAATATCTGGCTTTTAACTTTTCCCGGTATAAATTAATTGAAGCGATATCTCGTGGCCGTATTGTTTTGATAACAGTGCTGTGTGTACGCTTTGCTTATGCTCGCTGGTGGAACATTGTTTTGGGTGTTGTTACTGTTTCGAGAAGGCACATATAAACATGTATGTGAAACATTTTCCAAACGACTATTCATTTAATGGAGGTTTTCATGGTTTACTGTGATATGACACGATATTATAAATGTGAAAGTGAGTTTGTTTGTTTGCCACCTTATAACGCCTTGACGGTTTAAACAATCACTATAAAGTACTATGGTATTTGGGATGGATATAGGCTACTTTTTATCCTGAACAATAAAATATCCCGATCACGCGGACGAAGTCGCGGGTAAAAGTTAGTTACGATATAACGTTAAAAAGGATGGGCGGCAGCGTCCCTCTTAAAACATCATCAAAGCCTATTTGCAGTTGCCAACCCGCCTGCTAAGCATGGCAACTACTGTCGCTCTCAACTACCATAGGGAGAGGCCTATTGTCAGCAGTGGACAGATAACGGGTGATAACATGATAAATCTGGAAGTATTTCTAGCAAACAAATAAGAAGGTTGAAAGAATTATGAGGTAACAAACAAAAAATATATACGACCGAGTTGCAAAACTCCTTTTGGATACCAGAGGGAGACTTTGTACAATAGTCGATTGCTTGGGTACCTCTGTCCCATTCGTGTTTCTATCGTGAAGCAGTTGTGTTTGCATGGCTGTGTTTCGGTTTGAAGGATGAGATATGGCGTGAATTTACAGGGTACAGAGGAATAACATCTGAGTCCTCAGGAATGGCAACGCATGTGGGGTATCATGGGCGAAACAGTATACTTTGTTATGTCCATGGTACTGCTCATGTCTATAAGCGACGGTTACACTTTCTATCAGGTGGGCCGTCAGCTTGTTTGCCATTCTAAGTTGTATAAAAAAAAAAATATCGGTTGAAAATGAATCAATGCACGTTGCAACACAGTTCTTATCTTTAGGTATTGTTACGTAATGAAAGTACATTCTATTATGCTATTTAATGTTCGAGATATGTAGAATTTTATAATTAAATATTACACTAAATGTCAAGTGATGTAATAATAAGTTACGAAATAGCTAAACAATGATAAGTCATTCCAATTTTTGTAACATATTGGTATAAATTAATGTATATAGAAAACACTCAGACCAAACAAACAGTATAAATATTTGTATTGTGCGGGGATAGAATCCACAACCATCAGAATCGTAAGTTAGCAGTTAGCCCATTGTGAAGAATTCAATAAGAATTACTCACAATAGTTACCAGGGGAATTGCAGAGAGGTCAATTTGACGGGACTGCTAGCAATGGGAATTAACGCCCCTATACTAACAATCCCTCTCTCTCTAATAGCAGAGTTGTGTGAATACCATCGGATAGAGTTGCAGGATGATATTTTTTCATTTATAATTTAGCATTTCGAAATACAGGGCTACGCATTAAAATTACGACACTTCTTGGTGGGCACACTGCATTGGGTAAATGAGGTCTTGTGTTCGATTCTCGGTCGGGCCAATATAGGAACTGCACTTTTCTGAATGGACTTGTCTCTAGTTATTCCGGGTTGCAACCCCAGATGTTTGTTGTTTGATTCTTCACAACATGAAGTATCTTAGATTGATGATCAGGCGATATATGTAATTGTATCACACTAATAAAAAAAAAAACCAATTATTGTATAATATCACTTACGAATGCCTGCCCACTCCCGCTTCAGTATCGTCCTGTCTAAGAAAGTCATAGAGAGCATGGCCACAAATATTATAATAGAGCCTCGGAACATTTGAAAACTGCTTGCATATGTCAAGGTCAATCCTATGTACATTATGGAGGTACCGATCTGTAAACAAAATATGCAAGTAAGATAATGATGTACTGATATTGACCCTGTCGAAGTTAAAATTTGAATAAAAACGAAAGCTTTTATTAGAAATATTTTAAAAGTATAACACTTTATAATTTCCTTTGATTTTTAATGTAAAGAATGAAATTGTTTCATTGTATAATTTAGCTTTAGCAATCGCTGGTCTAGTCTATTCCAAGCCTTGCTAAGTAGAGAGTGTAAGAGTACGCTCTAATAGTGACACTTTAGAAAAATCCAATTACTGGCAAAGCTCCCCTTATGGGGACGGCTTATGTTTGTGGTGTGTGGACAGTTAACGGCTGATGGATGAAACACTCGAATGACAGAAAATACCACATACATCACATGTACTATCCTCAATTATACCTAAACTTACTTATAAGTCTTTAATTGTAAATTGTAAAATCTTTAATGTACATAATTCATATTGAATACATTAAATGATTTAATATACAATGGCGGACTTATTCCATCTTTTGATTTTTTATTATTTTTATTTAAAATGAAAAGATATTCCTGACCGCAATATTAGTGTACGCTGGCGGGATATCAATAAGGGAAGGATCAATAGGTGATGATAAAAGCAGGTCTGTTAGACTACCATAATGAATTCGACAAGAATTAATCACGACGGTTTCTAAGGGACGCCACGACTTGACATAGTATTGTTAGCAATGCTTCTATCAGATGCCATTACTAATATTTTTTTTTTTATACAACTTACAATGGTAAACAAGCTGACGGCCCACCTGATGGAAAGTGGTAACCGTCGCCTATAGACATGAGCAGTACCATGGACATAACAGAGTATACTGTTTTGTCCATGATACCCCCATGCGTTGCCATTCCTGAGGACTCAGATGCCCTCTTACCCTCCAAGTCTTTTTGTTACCTTATGGCATTTTAATGGCTCATCCACTCGTCGTGAAGTTTGGTGTATATTGTATGTATATATGTGTTTGTGATAGAGAAAGGCACAGGACATTTATTCTAATGATATTTATATCCCAGTCAGGCGGATGAAGTCACCGCTAAATGCTATTTTTTATAATATTATTCGTGAAATCCTTTTTTTTTTTATTTCCTTGATTTTTACATTAATAATACTTATGGTTGATAAACCATAAATAGGCCACTTCTTTATTTCTCGTGGGTATCGTAAGAAGCGACTAAGGGAGGACGAGGGATGGGCAGCAATGTCTCTTTTGTAATCTCTCCAAAGCCTAACTGCGGTTGCCAATCCGCAGATCCCAAGAATCAGATTTGGCAAACCTCCCTAGTGGGAAGCTTATATCCAACAGTGGACAGTTAAAAGCTGATTTGATGAAGACGATGGCATATATGAATACACAAATTTACAACATGTAAGATTTAAATATAACATCTTTGTATAAATCGAATATTCTACATTCGAATTTTAACACATAAAATAAGTAAGGTTCAGTTGCTGTTCTCGTTGTGATACTTTTTTTAGAAATAACTCACTTCACTCTCCCTAGTAACTATTCATATATTCAATAATGTCACTATCTACCCGTTCCACAACTGCACGGCAGACAGAGATGAAGCTTAAAGTGGCCCTACAAGAACTTCAGGCATCCAAAGATCTCAGTGACAAGTTGATCAGGGAGAGAGAAGAGAGTGAAGATGAAATTTTAAAAATTATAAATAAAAATACCCAATTAAAATCAGAATTGTCAGAACTTCATAATAGCCATCAGGAAGTTATTGAGCAGCGGGATCAGCTTCAAGAACTAATAAGTAGCTTTCATCAATGTAGTGACATTCATGAGCAAGCCTTGAGGCGTATCACTGAATTGGAACTTGAGTTAAAGCAGGCATATTCTAAAATCAATGATCTAGACACAAGATTGGAATCTCAACAAAGTAATGAGATTAGTAATTTATATGAGGAACTTATTAGTGTTGACTGTGTGCCTCCTTCTACTACAGTTCCATGCACCCATCCTGTTGTAATTGACCTTACTAGTGATACATCACCTAAATTAGGCAACTATAACAGTAATATTTGTATGTTGAGTAATAATAAATTTAAAAAATATTTAAAACTAAAAAAGTTTATAATTAAGAATCGGAATATATTAAATAAGCGTTGCAAAAAGGGACAATTATTGAAAAAAAACACTTTGAATAATTTAAAATTGCATGATTACATTAATAAGTGTAATAATAAGTTAATGGAAAGCCAAAAGTTATATGACATTGATACAGACTACCTAACTTCAAAAATCAATAGTTTAGAATCTTCGCTTCATGATTTAAATACAAAGTATATTATCTCTCAGAAACAAATCCAGGAGCATATTTTAGCAATGGATGATCTGATTGATGTCAGTAAATACAATGCTGACCGTTTTGAGTCGTTGACTAAGCATTGTACATGTAATCACACAAATATATCAAATAATAATTCAGTTGTAACTGTGCTGGAAAATGAAGTTCAGGGTGTTTGTGCCAGTGACTGTAACCCTAAGAGTAGCACAATGGTGTTCTCTGACAGAATAGGCTGTAACTTTGGGTCTATTTTGAAGTATCATCTTAAGGGTGATTTATTAAACTACTGCATGCCAGAAGCATCATTTACACAAATAATAAATAAAATTAAGTCTACGAAAATGAACAATATGACCACAATTGTGTTATTTTTTGGTAATAGTATTCAATTAAATAGGCAGGATGTAATTAAAGGAATTGAATATTTATTACAATTAAATGTGTATAAGATTGTATTGTGCGCTTTTCCTTACACAAATAGACATTTTCATAAAAAAATTAACAGTAAGGTACATTACCTGAATAACTTATTACATACATTGACATGTCGTCATAGTGACATTTTGACATTTTTTGATACTAATAGTTTTATTAGTGATTTTTATTTGACAAAAGATACAATGTATCTTTCTAAATCATCTAAAAATAAAATAGCCACTTTAGTGGCTTATAATATTGACTACATGAACAGTTTACATGGTAAACTTAAACATAAAAATGCTGACATAACAGATAATTCTATTAATATTTGTGACATAAGGACTATGACTGCAGATTTAAACTGCTCACAAAGACAAAGGGAAAGCAATCAGAATTAATAATTGTTCATCAGAACATACAAAGTTTTCCCGGCAGCGAGTTAATTATACAATTATTTTTAGAAAAGTATAATATTGATATTGTCTGTTTCACAGAACATTGGCTTAAAGAAAGCAATATGATGTTCAATTTAAATAATTATAACGTTGTCAGCTGCTTCAATCGAAAGTCAGTTAACAGAGGCGGGTCTATGATAATTGCAAGAAATAATATTAAAGTAAAGGAACGTGCTGACATTGTTAGACTTTCTATTGAGTGTTGTATAGAATTATCTTGTATAGAACTAGAAAATTATATCCTTATATGTGTGTACAGGCCTCCTAATAGTGATTACAATGTTTTTGAAGGGGTGATGGAGGATATTTTAAAAAAAGTATTTAATAGTATTAAAAAAATTATTGTATGTGGAGATTTTAACGTTGATATTCTTTGTAACACACCCACATGTACAAAATTTATTAGTTTATTTCAGTCGTTTGATTTATGTCATGTCTTTCATGAACCCACTCGTGTAACTGCCACGTCTGCTACTTGTCTTGACAATGTTTTTTGTAACTGCGAGTATACAGAAAAATTCATAATAAATAAACTTCCTTCAGATCACTGTGGTCAAGTTGTTAAGTTTAGCAGTCAAATCAATAAAGTCAACAATAATAAAAAATCAAAAAGACAAATAAATATTTACAATATTAATAAATACAAAAGCGCGATTAAAAATAAATTGGATTTGCTGTTACAATCTAGTAATAATCCTGATTATCTTTACACCAAGCTAATTAATATTTTATCCGGAGAATATGAACAATTTTTCAAGAAAAAAGAAGTTCATGTTAAATCTAAATTCACGGAATGGGCAACAGTAGGAATACTTAAAAGTAGAAATATTTTGTTTGATTTATACGATCAAAAAAAATATCGATTTGATGACAAATTCACCACTTATGTAAAAAATTATTCTAAAATTTTTAAAAAAGTTTGTATTATGGCTAAGTCTAATTATTTTAATAAACAAATTAAGCAGTCTTCTGACAAAATTAAAACCATCTGGAGCATTATAAATAAAGAAACTGGAAGATCTAAAATAGCCTGTAATCAATTTACATTAAATTATGATAATAAATTAATATCAACAACAAAAGATGTAGTTAATATTTTTGAAGATTTTTTTGCTAATATTCCGATTGATATTACATCTTCTCTGGACTCATCTCAATCTCGAGCAAAAAAATTACTAGAGACTAATATCGGTTGTTGTTCTTTAAGATTTAAATTTTCACATGTTAGCCCCTTTCATATCATAAAAATATTCAAACAGCTAAATTTAAAAAATACGGAAGACCTTTGGGGCATGTCTGTAAAAGTAGTTAGTTCTTTCATAGATATTGTTGCTCCATATCTAGCCACTATTTTTAATAAATGTATTGATAATGGCGTTTTTCCACATTTAATGAAATTTAGCAAATTAATCCCACTATTTAAATCAGGAGATAAATTTGAGCCAGGGAACTATAGACCTATATCTATTTTGCCAGTTCTAAGTAAGGTGTTTGAAAAGATAATGTTAAATCAAATGTTACATCACTTCAGGGTTAACGGACTGCTTCACAGTCAGCAATATGGTTTCACCGCCGGCAAGTCTACCACTGACGCAGGTGTTGCGCTAGTGACACATATTTTCGAATCTTGGGAGAGGTCACAGGATGCACTCGGAGTTTTTTGTGACCTATCAAAGGCATTTGATTGTGTGGATCATAAAACGCTTTTGTACAAGCTCGAACATTATGGTATAAGAGATAATGATCTAAAATTAATGAGAACTTATTTAGAGGATAGGGTTCAAACTGTAGATATTGACGGTGTAAAATCTAAGGGAGCTAATATTAAGATGGGCGTTCCACAAGGGTCAATCTTAGGCCCCTTTCTCTTTTTAATCTACATAAATGACCTTCCCTTTATGGTAGAGAAAATTGCAGATATAGTGCTGTTTGCGGATGATACTTCGTTAGTGTTTAAAATTGGACGTCAAAGTAATCAATTAGACGATGTAAATTGTGCTATGTCTGCAATATTAAATTGGTTTACATGTAATAACCTATTATTAAATTCCAGCAAAACAAAGTGTATAAAATTTACACTTCCTAATGTAAGACTAATAAATACACAGTTATTGCTTAATGATGAAATAGTAAATTTTGTTAATGATACAGTTTTTTTAGGTATAACAGTGGACTCGAAATTACAATGGGGGCCCCATATTTCAAAATTGGCCAGTAGACTCAGTTCTGCTGCATATGCAATTAGAAGAATTAGACAATTAACAGACGTGGCAACGGCTAAACTTGTATATTTTAGTTATTTCCATAGCATAATGTCTTATGGCATACTGCTGTGGGGTAAAGCAGCCGATATAAATACTATATTTGTTTTACAAAAGAGAGCCATACGTTCTATTTATGGTATGGGTTCGAGAGAGTCATTACGTCAGTGCTTTAAAGACTCAAATATCCTCACAGTTACTTCACAATACATTTATGAAAATATTATGTATACACGGAAGAACTTAGAGAGTTTTAAAAAACTCAAAGACTGTACAAGTAGAAACTTACGCAATATAAATAAGCTTATTTTACCTAAATGCCGTCTGCACAAAATCAGTAATTCATTCTATGGTAATTGCATAAGATTTTATAATAAACTGCCGGAATCTGCATTAAATCTGACAGAGAGGCAATTCAAATCTTATATTAAACAATTTTTATGTAAGAAAGCCTATTACAGGATAGACGAATTCATAGATGACAACATATCAAGTAAATAATTAGTTTATTAGCATACAACGTTATAATTTTATTTTCTCATTGCTTTCTTGATTTAATTGATTAATTTTAGAAATATGAAAGCGTAGCGGTTTTTTTGTATTAATTGCCGCATGCATTCTTATGTAAAATGTGAATACTATAACTATCAGATGGCAATTGTGAGTAGCTTTGACGTGGTCTAGTGTTTTGAGTAGTCATGCTCACTAAAATGTCCAGACTTGTGGCGGCGTGGTGGGCCGGGTCATTGGGCTCCCTAAAATATGGTCGAGCGCAGTGATGGCTGGCTCATCCGTCATACTCGTGAACGGGTGCTGCTTGTAGGGACTGGTCTGCTCTAATCACTATGACTGATTTCCTCTTATTAATTGTTTAACCAGTTGGTTATGTATTCAATATTTTTTTTCTTTTTGAGTATTTAATTGAATTAGTGCTAATTGGTGGTTTGTATTCACACAATTAAACTTGAAAATGTAAAGTAATAATAAAATTATTTAAAAGAGCAACACGCAAGTTTCTTGCTCGTTCTTCTTGTGATGAGACAGCTTTCCGAACGAGCGGTAGATTAAAAAAAAATGTAATGACTTTTCAAAAGTGCTTCAATGTAAGTTTATTTGAATAAATGATTTCTATTCTATTCTACTATAGACTTGAATGCAGATTTGTGCAGTGAGCGTAACATAAGAACAGGTGCCAGTTGCTTTCAGACTGGATAAAAATTTCATTCAGATTACTACGGACTATACGGTTTGCATAAAATATGGACATGAAAAAATAATGAGACAGTACAAAAAGAATGGATATATTTTTGTTTCAACGTAGCATATAGAATAATTGGTAAGAAAAATAAAAAATATAAAAAAAAAAATATTAAAACTAAATAAAGTAGAAATTAGTTTTTAATTAAGTATATTTCTTTTCACACAGCAATAGAAGAATCAGTCGAGAAAAAGATTATTAAATTTTTTTGATTAAAATCTGTACTTAACAGCTATAAACTTTATGTTCCATTGTAGTTTTCATTGGCCTTTTATGTTACACCAACAATTTATATACATATATACAGTTAAAAATCATAGGAGAACAAATGATTGCATTGCTGGTAACTCAGTTAAACAATCAACTGAAGATTATGTTTATGGATTTTTCTACTCTGTACACTACACAAATTCTACCTATTCACCGCCATAATGGTAAAATAGTTCAATTTTTTTTTTATTATTTGGTATGTTTACACAACAGACCACAATATTTGTCGTTAAATTGGAAACGTGAAAGAGAATTTGTCTATGTATTTGTACATCTTGATGCCTTAATAACTCATCCAATTATCGTGAAAATTGGTATAATTATAGTATTTTTTTTTTTACAGTTTAGATAAAAGATGGTGTAGTGAACTAAGTTCTACTTTTTCTTTTCTGCCTATCTCGTAAGGGACCAGCCGTAAATATAGGTCTTACACTGAACGTGTCTCTTTACAGAACATAGATTAAACAATTACTAGAGGGAGATTAAGTACAAAAGTCGATTGCTTGGGCGCCTCTGTCCCATTCGTGTTTCTACAGAAAAGCAGTTGTGTTTGTATGGCTGTTTCGGTTTGAAGGGTGGGATATAGCAGTGAATTTACAGAGTACAGACGAATAACACCCGAGTCCTCAGAAATGGCAACGCATGGGATGTATCATGGGCGAAACAGTATACTCTGTTATGTTCATGGTACTGCTTATGTTTATAGGAGGTTACCACTTTCCATCAGGTGAACCGTCAGTGTCTGTACTTCTGAGTTGCATAAAAAAAAAAAATGTGCTGACAATTCCTAATGGGGCAGTATCAAAGATTATGGTAAATGTAACGCTGGGCATAGCATAATTGAAACCAATACAAATGATTTAAAATTATTAATAAAAATCATACTTACTAAATCAAACATGGCGGCTGGCATAAGTATGAAAGGATTAAAGTTTTGATCGCCCCGTGTTAATGACTGGTCTCCGCCGACTAATCGGAATATAACTTTAAAGGTGAGCAAGCACAACATTTCTCCCAAGAACATAGCTGCAGCCTGCAAATTTAATAAAGTTATCAATACATTTACTATTAGGGGTTTGTGGTACAACAGTACATAAAAAAAATATTAAAATAAAATTGTGACTAGACGATGTATGTACATGGGAAAAATTTATATGTTAAGACACTACATAAAAATAAGATCAAGAAATGTTATAATTTATTCGTCCATCAGTTAATTTGTCCGTCTGTCTGTTCTTGCATTCTGCAAAAACAATTGCATCAAATCGAATGGAGTTTTCACAGTTGTATTTCTGAAGATCTTACTAAAAATCTAGAAGTTTCACTTCTTTGGTTTTCCTACTTCTGCAATCAATGGATACATTATAGTGAACAAAAATGTAAAAATTAATATACATACTTGTAAAAACGGATGCTCAAACTCTCGGACTACTCCATCGGAGCCTTTAGCTTCCAATTTGTCAGCCCATTTTGTGCATAGGGTATTGATTGAACCCGTTACAACCATCATCGATGCTAGAAACTTCTGATATCCCGACCACGCCATTCTGTTAAATATATTTATTGTTTTAATAATAATTACTGTTTGGTTTAATTGTGGTTTGAACAATAATTTAGGATAATTATTGTCAATGAAAAATTAGGATAAAAAACCTGGATATTATATGGACTCTTTTTTCATTATTCGTCACCAATGTGAAGCCAGGATAGACACTTAGTTTTTTTGATGGGCGAAAATGGAATACTAATCCGCCTGGTCTATTCTATGTATTATCTCTATGTATTTAGTATATGTTGGCGAGGCGCCATTAAGTGATAATAGGTGACAATGAAAGTAGGTCAGGTGACCTATCGTACGAATTCAAGAATATTGGACTCAATCTTAGAATTGTCTCCAGAGGGCACATTGAGTATATTTATTGTATTCTAACCGCTCCACTGGAAACTTTACTAATTGATTAAATAATGTAACAAATATATAACAGAAGTATCTATCTGAAAACCATAAATATAATTTCCTTTTTGTTATTATTCTTATTTATTGCACAAAAAAGTGATCACACAAGAAAATTATTATGGAACCAATATGGAACTAAGCAGGTTGATTTTTGACGCCATCGAAAGCACATCAAATAAATGTTAAACGGTACTCTCGAAACCTAAAGTCGGTTCTAGATCGAACCGAAATTTTATGCTCGTATCAATTTCAAATGTTTATACTTTTGATACCTGAAATCGTAATACGGTCTAACAAAAATAGATCGCATTTGGATCGAATTTATCTGTCATATTTCGATTTTATTATTGGTATCATATAATATAGTAATATTTTGTTGACTTTTTGAATAGGTATTCTAATAGGAATATCTGAAAATATGTTTAAAAATACAAAAATATGATAAAAATATTACTAATATCACAACGGTGAAAGTGAGTTTAATACGTTATAGCGCTTTAACAAATCAATAAGAAATTTTGTTTACACGTACTATATGGATGGATTATGGGTTACTTTTTATTTCGGTCAGTAAATATATTCCGGGCACAGGAACAAATTTGCGAGTAAAAACTAGTATTTTTATATAGTACATATAACCTATATGAGAGATATTATGTACAAACATAATGTAGGTTGCTTTAAAAGAAAAGTCATTTTTAATTTCAACATTATTCATTTTCATAACAACAATTATAATATTTCAATATTGTTTTTTTTATTTTTGTGATATTATCTTTTTTTTTTTTGTTTAAGAAAGAACTTATATTAATACAATTTAAACATTTATGTATTTTATAATTATCAAGTGTTGGTAATTAAAATGCTAGCATATGTAGAATGTTGGTAAATAGGAACATTATTTATACAAACAAATTAAGTATAATATAATAGTCATTTAATATTTTCATATCCACTAACAATCAGTTAGTCAAAATATTATTTATTTTAAGACAAAATCTCTTATAACAATATTAATCATCACATTTTAAAAATAACTTAAAATATATTATGAAACAACATTAAATAAACTATAAAGGCTGTATCTGTTTATGTTTAGGATATAAAATCCTTGATGTTTTCCTGCCCTTCATTGTGATCACGGAGCAGAGCCAACATAAGCTCCTTTATTGGGCTTATTCCTTGGAGGTCATCCCTGCCTCCTCCGGCCCGAGTTTTACTGCACTTCCGAGACAACTCAATAGAAGACTCTTTAATTTTGTTTTTGTATTAGCCTTGCCAATTATGATTCTTAAATGTCCATTGGTAATTCTTAGATTTTTCTAGAATTATACAATGAATTATTAAAACAGTTATATATACTATACATTACTGTAACTATTTAAAAAACTTTTTATCTATGTTATATAATATTGCATTTTATTGGAAAGTAAAATCAATAATAAAAATAATACTTACACAGCAATAAAGTTTATTTATTTAAAAATTCATAAGTTTCAGTGAAGAACATATGTTTCTTTCACTTCATGCGCGTTACCTATTTGACACTTTGATGTTTGCTTTTTTCAAGTTCCTCAGTTCGTATAATACTAATGTTCTTGTCAGAACTTACTTTATATACAGATGACAATTTGATTTCAATTCTAATTTGATTATACTCAGAACTGCTAAACTTGTAACAAATTAAAAACAAATCAGATGCATATCAAAAACAAAAATGGAATCAAATCATGTTCAGAAATCAACCTGCTATTGATAGAAAAAGGAATTATCTTCACCATTTGTCAATGATGATTTCACATGAAACAGAAATGAAAATACTGTAACAAATTCAGTTTACCCTTTATTTTAGATTTTTCAGGATTATTAGTAGTACCACATTCGAGTATTCTGACACTTCCCTATGGTTGACTGGGAGAGAATGCTTTTAGCATTAAGTACGCCATGTACACATATTTGTACTAATGAATAAATAAAAATAAATGTTCATAATATAAAAATTAGGTGTCAAACTTAATATAGTTTGGATGCTTGAAAGAGTATCATAAACAATTGTTTGTAGGTAAATAATGGAATACCATAAATAATTATCATCGAAAATCAGTATCAGGGTTTGATAACCTTTATACTAAGAGGTCATCATTGTTACTAGCATAATTTTAAATGATGAATATAATAATAATTACTAAAACAAATTCTTTAACATTGTTTCTATATTGGCAAATAGATTGCCAATACTCACTTTATAGATATAATAAGTAAGTACTCTAGGCAAACAACTAAAAATTGTCAATTCATTAAAAAAAATATTATCTCATTTAAGATTTAACTACTGCAACAAATTTAAATTTACTACGCGAAGCAATAAATGTAAATTACATAGATTTAACTACCTAACTGTTAAAAAAATTATTCCATTTATTTTTGAGAACAAAGAAATTACTTGTGGACATTTTGTTTTAGAGAAAGTCAAATTTATAAACTTACGTTGATAGTACGGACTTGATATCTGATAAACAATAATAAAACTTTTTATTATTTCACTAAAATAATAGTTATTTTCTATGTCTATTATTGCCACTTAAAACAAATTGAACACAAAATAAACGTATTTACAAGCAGATGGTTGATGATAGAAAAACAATTTGAAAACAAATTACAAAATACGAGTATGTAATCTCAAACATGTTGTCATTATCAACAGTTGTCACTTGTCAAAAACATTTCACTACATCAGTCAAAGTCATAGATCAATTCAAATCATCATTGTCATTGCGGCCAATTCTGAGGCCCCATTTCTCTAGATTTATCTTTTAACCTAATATTTCAATTTAACAATTTATTGAAGTTACTAGTTTATAGATTATTACATTATCATAAAATAAAATTATCATAACCTTATTTTAAATCTATAAGAACATTAATTTATCTTACAATAAAGATTTTTATTTTAGAAAAAGTAATGGCACTACTGAATCGACCCATTATCTAATTTGTATGCACCGTAGAATAAGTATAGTGCGATTCACAGTAGAATTTTTAATTTCAGAACATTGGCATATCATGAAGAGTACCATGGGCGTCATGGTGTATTCTGTAATTCCCTTGTTGCTATTCTTGTCTTTAGGTAACAGTTACCACTTACCATCAGCTGAGTCGTCAATTTGTTTGCCATTCTTAGTAACATAAAAAAATATTTTACGATTAATCGATCCAGAGAAATATAAATAATTAAAATATGTAAATAATATATTTATATATAAATAATATATTTATATATAAATAATTAAAATAGAGAGTGATCAGTTTCCAATCTATATATATTTTATTAAATCTATACATTTACTTGTTTATTTTTAATGCTTATCCTTTCTTCAATCATCAACATCCAAATGAAAAGATTAAGATTTATTATTTATTTATAAATCTATTTATTGATCAACTTTTTTTTATTTGTGAACGAAATCAAATTTACTTATTACAATTGATTCTTTATTTTTTAACGTTTCTTATAAAATGAAAATGACGTAAAAGCATTGATGACCTTAGCCAATTTCGAAATCTTTGAAAGATTTCGAAATTATCTTAAAAAGATTATCTTTGGCCAAATTTTAAAACTTTTCTCTTGACACGATGAACTTATGGACATTAAACTGGAAGGAAAGAGGGAAAGGGCTCCCCTTTTCCCAAGACTAAATCAAAGATGTCAAGTGAAGGAAGTGGTGAGTGGCAAGAACTCTACGGATAAGGGAACAGATCTTAAATAGGAATGAATAAATGACCTCTGTAGATGATCATATCGGCTTTATTGTAATCAAATAATTTTTAATAAAGCATGCACTTATTTTTCTTGTATATATATGGATCTGTTGACTTTATCTTATCATCTAATTGTTTTTAATAAATGATAATGGAATGCAAATCCAGTTTACGGGGGAGAAAGGGGTTGTTAGTAATGAGGTCTAACGGCCCGCTTTTTAGCAATATACTTTATCAAGTCGACCTCCACGCGGTTCCCCTGGAATCTATCGTGGTTAATGTTGAATTTGTCACGATAAGCCAACTGAGTTACTTCATTCTCATCTTTCATCCTTTACTGGGGTACCAATATAAGATTTAGTGGTATACGCTGGCGGGGTACTGCCAGCGTATGCCAATAGCGCAGGCAGGATATTTCATTTTCACTTATATAAAAAAAACAATTTGCGTTATCGGTATATACTTGTAAGGTATCATTGAGAATTATTCACTATGGTTTCCAGGGGGCACAGTAAGGAGGTCGATCTAATAGTGTATATGGCTGGCAATAAGGGGGTTATACCCCTGTACTAAAAATCCTTTTCACTGCATCGTCTACTTATAATCCCGCACTGGTACGTGTTCCTCCAGTTACAACTGGACATATACATACTAGACAAATTAAATAATGATATTAATAGCGTAAGCTATGGAACAATATACAAAGACGGGGTTACCATTCGATTTCATTCATAAAAAATACATTTTTGACAGGTAAGGTTAATAAAATTGATAGAAATTCATATTTTTATTTCATTAGGTATTTATATTTTATTGTCATTTATTAAACTTAACTTTATATCGTAATATAATTTTATAGTTTAAAGATCGACATAAATGCCGCATACCTATTTCTGAAAAAGTACCTCTTAACTGGCTATTACAAACGGATCACCCTTAAATTGTAAGGCACATTACATTCATTGCATCTTCGGTGGCCGAAAATACGAATTCGAAGATAAACTTAATGTGGCGCCACCTGTAAAATGGTACTTTAAACATTTTTAACAATTTACTTTATGGATCGATATATTGTATTGAAAATGATGGTTTTTTTAAACTTCCTCTATGTGTTTATTGCTTCATGTATTATTTATTAAAGTTAAAACGGTTAAATCGATTGTGATGAAATTTTCACAGTCTGTATATAAAGAGCGTTTATACCTTAAATATAGGTAATTTAAAAAGAAAATACATATTGATATATAAGAGCGAGATAGAAAAATAGGTTATTCATCATATAATATAGGCTCGAAGCGGATTTGGCGGGAATATGAACAAAAGAAGTTCTAATTGTTAGAATGGAGTGTAAATTTGGAAAAAAAGCCATAGAATTGCAATTTTTTCACGTAGGTACTTACGCTTTATATTTAAATAGAATATTACAGAACTATCAGAAGTATTTTGTACAAGAACTGGTAAATATGTTTAATTTGACCCAATTTGTTCTGAACGTCCACAAATTGAAATAAAAATTATAATAAATAGGTATGTGAACTTTTCTGCATTTTCAATTACATATCAAATCAAAACTGTTACATGCACACTAGTGTTACAATTTACTGCTTTCCTTTTTGTGATTGTATTTTCAGTCTATCAATACGTGAATGCGTCCTACTACGTCTATTTATCAATAGTAGGTTGGATTCTAAGACATAATTTCTCTAAACCTATCCTTAAAATTAAAATTTCAATTTGATATTACTGTTTGTAAAATATGCTGGTCTTGTTATTATATATTATTATTTATATTATATTAATTGTAAATAAAATTGCCGTCTGTTGACTTGAAGTGTTGTATGTATATTTTTGTTCTTATTTCAATTGTTTATAAATATTCTTTTTTATAAAAAAACTACAATTGTCAATATATAAAAAGGTTAATTTGAAACAATTACAACGAAATCTAAATTAAAGTACCAAAATAAAATAATAGGATAAGAGATAAATTTAGAAAAATGATGCCTCAGAAACGGCCCCTCCTATCTAGTATTGATAATTACGTTGGTACACTTCGGTATCTTTATAATTATTGTTGATTGGTATTTGCAAATACTACGATAAAATATCCTTTAAGATACTTATAATCTAAAAAATTGCGACGTGTTTGACGACCTTGACGCTTAAATGTAATTACTAAGTGCAAAATACAATTAAATTAGCATTAAGTAACTATTAGTTACTAAATAAATATAATTTTGGAGATTTCGTTTCAGTCCTTCATCTCAAATCACGATGCATTCATGAGGGTAGATCAGACCACGCAATGGCACGACGGAAGGACATGCTGAAAGAAATATAGCATATGAATAACGAATAATCTTACTAACACTAACTAGACGATATCTGTACTTGAGAGATATTTAAGAATTGATATGGGAGATCAATAGAAGCTAAACATTTATTTTTAAAAATTTTGTTTGTCTGTATGTTTGTTCCGACATCATACAAAATTACTCTGACAATTCAAATGCAGTTTTCAGTTGTATTCCTGATGGTGTAACTAAAAATCGGCCTTACGGTCCTCATTAGTTTTTCTACTTTAGAAACCACGTGCACGAAGTAGTGAACAAAAAGCTAGCTAGAAAGATAATAGAGTAGGGAGAAGAGAATTTATATAAAGTCATGATGTTGTGACCTTCACAGCTATTAATATTGGAGCCAAAATTACGTTACGCAGGCAGACTGCGTTCAAATTTTTATGAAAATGAAACAATTCCGCCTATGAAGCGAGGTGCCAGTGAGTTATAAGTGAGAATGAAGTCAAGTCCATTGGCCTATTGTGATAAATTTATCAGGAGTTAACCGAGATGGTCTCCAAGAGAGGCCACCATGGATATAAATATGATGGGGTATATTGTTAATAATATGGATGCTAAATTAATATTACTAACAATATTACACATTTGAAGGAGCTATGTAAATTATGGTAGCAAAATTATTAAGTATTGTGACTCGAAATCTTTATGTAACATAGGTTGGTGAAGTAAGAGACATATCTCAGGTGTAGCAAGTATTCTGGGTATTGGTGGCCGTTAACAATCATGCTGACTGTATGTTCGCGACCCATGTTGTACAAATTAAAAAGAGAAAAAATATTTAGAAGATACATTGGATAATTTGAAAGCTTCTGTAGTGCAGGCTTTTATTTGTATTGTATAATCTTTATAGTTCATATTTGCACAAAGGTTTGGTTATAAAAGAAAATTACAAAGCACACAGGTGGACTTATAACTTAAAGAGCTTTCTTGTAGTTAACCTTGGTAACCCGAAAGGAAAAAAGGGTTTGTATTTTGAACGGGCCAATTTATAAAAAGAACTTTTCGTAATTGGTACGAATCTGGGTGTTCTGGGTTATATTCCCAGGTGTCTATTGTCTGGTAGTTCATAATGTAACGTAATCTTGCTTTAGTATCACGAAAAAAAAAAGGTATGAAAGAAATCAAGAAGTATTTGAGACCGGGAAACTAATATAAATTACTCTAATACTTTTCAGCAAATTAAAGGACATCCAAAAGCATCATTATTTTCTAGAACGGTATTCTACAATTCATTCTGAGTTTAACATGAACATACATAGTTGACTATAGTAATAATACAGTATTCAGAAAATCTTTTAAAAACGAAAATGTTGCTAGGTTTGTTACAATCCGATCTGAATAGGTATTAGATTCACGGCTGAGCTTTACCTACATTATAGTCTAACCATAGGATTATACCTTTTTCACAACGCTGTCCATAGAAGCCGGTGCCCTCGCATTTGCATGTGAAGCCAGGGTCCTGGACAGTTTGTATGCAAATGCCTCGCAGACACGGCATTCGATTACAGATGTTGGAGTTGCGCTCTGGGAACACAATCGAAATGCAAAATAATTGCTAAGATAGTGCCGAGCCTGTAATAGTGGGTTCTGTAACTCTTGTGACGTTCCGAAAATCATAGTAAATTGTAAGTTATGACGATAACTTACAATTTACTGTGATTTTCGGAAATGAAACATTTAACATTTGTACCGTTAATTGTCCACTAATGAAGATAGACTGAATATGGGCATGCAGGAAGTTATTTAGTGACTACCAAATATATATATATATATATATATATATATATATATATATATATGTATATACATAATTGTAAATCATTTGGGAATAGGTATGTATTGTTAGCTTGCCATTTGACGAAATTACATTTGTTTATTGGACATTCCCGGATATAAAATCTTCTTTGTGAAAAAATAAATTATTATCTATCTATGGTTAAGTTATGCGGCTTTTTGTGAGACGTTCCGGTGTATTTTATTTCGTTACCTCGAGTTTGATTTTCGGCTTGGTTAATTTAGGGAACAAAGTTTTCTAAACTGCTCCGTCGGACGTTCCGGAGTCTGTTATCAAATTTTGTTTGATTTCTTATAATGCAGGATTTCTTTTATACTACAGCATGCATATTAAATATTTCTTAGCATGACTTGTGCCTTTAGTATGCAGATATGGAAGCACGTTTACTTCTTTGTACGGATTGCATTTCATATATCTTATTAATGTTCTACTACGGTGTCTTTTCAAGTGAAAGATTGACTCAAGTGGCGATACAATTGCATAATATAGTCATTTGAAAATGACTTGTTTTGAAAGCCACATAATAAAAATTAATAATTAATTTGAAATAAGCCACAGTTTTTTTTACTTTACTGCGAATAATTATCGAGCTGTTGGTCCGCCTAATAGGAAATACTAATTGTCGCCTGTAGACATCAACAGCACTATAGTGACTAGAGAGTACAGTGCGAAGCCCGGGTATAGAACCGGCAATTATATTTTAATGGTATGACGATATCAGCTGTTACTGTCCATTGCTGGACATAGGTATTCCCCATAAGGAGGATTTTACCAGTAGTTGCCACGCTTGGTAAGTGTGGTTAGTCTGTGGTGATGTTTAAAAAGGGACGCTGCTGTACATCCCTCCACCATTAAGTCTCCTTAAGTCTCTTACGATACCCACGGAAAAGGAAGGAGTAGTTCATTCTATGCTGGGATCACTAGGCAGTACTATAATGGTATGTGATCTATCTAAGAGGGTTGACGTCAGGCAGGCGGCCGGTTGTAAAACTGTAAGCCAAATGTTTTTGAAATATGGATAAAAAATATATTACGCTGACCCCGAATAATAATTAGGATAAGAGGTGGAGGATGATGATGATGATGATGATCTACCTAACCATTATATGTGGGGAGAAGAAGAGATTGTTAGTAATGGGTATTAGCAACTATATTGCTAGCAACATACTTTATCAGATAGACTTCCACGCAGTTTCCTAAATTCATCACAACGGGCCAACTAACCTGCTTTATCCTCACATTCCATTATCATCCATTAAAAAAAAAACATCGTCATACTGTAACAACATACTTCTGCTTGTCTATTTATAAAAATGTAATAAAATATTTTATTAATGTCTTGTGTAAATAGTAACATTAAGGGAAAATGAAGAAGGAGAAATGAAAGGGTATTATGCAAATTTGCAACTTGTTCCACGTCGTATTTATATTTAAAATTTAACTTGGCGTCCGTTCTTTACCCGGGTTTATTTATTCACTTTATTCACCCATTATTATTCTGGTTATTTTAAACTAACTAAGGTTTTATTGTTATTTACAGGGCCGGCTGCCGGTCTCGAGCAAAATTATTGATGGCCCCTTAAAAAAAGGTTATTGTTATTGTGCATATTGGTTGTCACTTGTTTTCTTTATAAATGATAAAAATATGGTGACCCCGCTTGCGCTATCGGTTTACGCGGGCGGGGTACCAGTTAAGGATGATAGGTGAATTAGGTTAATCAGTACGGCGTGACGAATTCACGAACTAACCGTGATTGTTTATAAAAAGGACTTTACTCCCTGACACTAACAATACCTCCCTCCTCCCCGTTTGAATTTTAACAACTGTTTGTTTAAAGCGAGAAGGATTTTGTTTGGATATTTTTTTACGTATATATTTCAATATTGAACCCATAAAATTTTTTTTTTATTGTTATATGTTGATATTATAATAAATCATATGAATCTTTTTTGGCTATAAATTTTGTCATATACGTGCCATTTGTGTAATATGACTATTATTGTTTTTTATTATTTCAGCCGTTAATTGTCTATTGCTGGACATAAATCTTACCCATAAGGGAAGTTTTGCCACTAGTTGCCACGCTTGGCGGGCGGGTGACTATTATACCATAATTGCCCATAAAAGGAGTGTAATGTCAATGGAGTGTCAAATTTTACGCATGTGAGTGTTTTGTACTATATTTTAACTTCTAAATGCTGTTTAGATGTCGGAAGTTTGGATGTCGGAGCATTCTGGGTTGCTTGTATTTTAAAAATCTATTTATAACAGACGGAGTTAGGAGGTAACAAGTAAAAAAAAAAACAAAGAATTGAAAAACCTCTTTCTATTTGAAGTAGGTCGAAAATAGTTGTTTCTTGGTGGGATAGACTTGTTTTATTTACGATACAAAATGTACTTTAAAATACCTCTCAAGGCGTTAAGGCAATCCGTTCTGCTCCTGTATATGTACTCGTTTTTGCATCCGTAACCGCAATAGCATGTTGATCCATAAATTTTGCAGCCTTGGTGACTTTGGTCGGGATCACATGCCCTTATGTTCCCTGTAAAAAAAATAAAAAATAAAAATTATTTTCACGGAAACTTGAACTGATATTACAAATCAAAGAAAAGAAAAAAAAAAAGATTCGCATTGCTAATTCGCTCAGAGAGCACCTGATATATCTTCGTAATATAATTTTGACTTAATATGAATATATAAATATATAATAATACATTATCTAGGAGGAAAAATTGTTTTCGCTAAAAGCAGCAAATAGGCAGGTACCAATAAATTTGTATCAAAGGTATATATTTAAATAGATGCCACAAATGCATTTATTTTCAATATCCATTATTAGTCACCATTAAAAAATTAGTCTATTTACTAAAAAAAAAAATTTGATTCAGATATAATTTTTCAATCTGAAAAAGGTTTGTTTTGATTTGTATCGTATTGAATTGATCTGGCGCGAATAAAGTGTTTACATAACAGCATAATATTATTAACTTCTGTAACTATTAAATTGAAAAAAAAAATAGTATATTTTGTTTAAAATAATAATGTTGAGGCAACATCTATTTAATCTATGTCTGTGGCTTTAGGTAATTTTAACAATATTTTCTTTAACTTTTTTTTATTCGTATTTAATTAGGTCTTTTTTGCCTCGTTACACAAGTTTGTTTACGTAAACAGTTGATTTGTAAGTAACCTTGAATTAGGTATTTTTATAAAGTTTATTTCTTCTATGATTTACAAGGAAAGATAATATTTATTTTGGGGCTCCTTAACAGAACTGCAGATTTCCACTTAATATACTCGTACATAGGTATATAGTTGATTATCCTTAGATTCATTAGCAAACTTATTTAAAATTAAGTATTTATTTAAGTTATACCTAGAATATATTTGTCGTAAGAGGCGACTAAGAGAACTTAATGGTACAGGGATGAACAACAGCGTCCCTTTTAAAACATCACCAAAGCCTAACTGCGAATGCCAATTAACCTGCCAAAAATGGCAACTATTGGCAACCCTTTCCCTCCCTTATGGAGAAGGCCTATGTTTAGCAGTGGACAGTTAATGGTTGATATAATAATAACAATAATAAATAGAATATATTAGTGCAGAAATTTCGTGAATCGAAATTTTAAACCGACAATTTTATTAAGCTTTCATTTCCCGCAGGTCCGCTCGCTCGCATCGGAATATACAGTATCCTATATGTTACGATATAACCTATCAAGTATCATTCAATTCCATGCAGCGTAAGTTACCAGACATAGTTGATTAAGTCAGATAAAATGTAACTAATTAATGTAAACTTTTAATATGTAATGAACGGAGTTCTTCAAACTGTTTATCTAATTGTCCATTAACAAAGATATATAGTATATTTATTAAATTATAACAATGGACGCTTTGGGATGTTTTTATCTCGGTACGTTTCCGCCCCGGGCGCAGTGTATATTCACGACGCATTTTACTTTTCATAACTAGAAGGGAAGGGAGGGGGGAGGGACATAATGGGGCCCATTATTCAATCCTAACAAGAAGTGATATAAATATTTCTATTAATAATATATATATATATATATATATATATATATATATATATATATATATATCCATTACTTATACATTTATAACTAAATATTAAATACTTAGGTACATTATAATTATTGAAATATAATTACACATCACATTTCATGAAATTCGGATCTAAAGTGGACAGTGAATCTCTAATGACCTTTCCAATCTTACCCAGGGCCGCTAGGTGGACTAAAGTCGGCTCTGCCTAATGTCATATCATATAGATAGATAGATAGATACTCTTTATTGTTTCCTCCAAAAGATTACAATAGTAAACTTATTATAAATATAAATACAAGAAATAATCACAATGAGAAAATAATGGGCGGCCTTATCGCTAAGAGCGATCTCTTCCAGGCAACCTTTGGATGGAGAGGAGTAATTATAAACAATTTGGTGGGAGGCACGATGAAAAATTTTGTTAGTTCTAAATATGGGAGATGTGATACATATAATAATATAAATATTATCCCTACTCATTATTATATTTATATACATACACCTACACACACATATATATAATACTTGGTGATTTGTTAGATTATTAAATTTTTTAATTTGTTAGTGCCAAATAGAGACAAATATCAGAATTGATTCTATTTTTCCCCGATATGTAGCGTTACTCGGAAAGCACATAATGTCGTCGTCCAGGAAGCGATGAGAGAAGCCTTTGTTTATATCGAAAGCGACTTGAAAACCATTGATACTAGAAGGTAGGCCCCACTCACTCTGATAGTCATCTACATTAATATAATAAAGAGGAAAGATTTGTATTTTTGTGCGTATGTATGTTTGTAATGAATAAACTCAAAGACTATTTTGCCGATTTCAAGAATTCTGTCACCATTAGAAAGATACATTCACCCTGAGTAACATAAATTATGTTTATTGATAAAAAAGATTAGGGATCCCTACTAAAACTTTAATAACGTAACTCAAGGTGTAAAAAAAATGTTATTAAATATCTTTGGTCGCGTGCTCTGTGGAAACTATTGGTGATAGAACAAAAGTATGTTCTAAAATATTCAATAAAATATTAATAACTACAAAAAACTTCGCGATACTATATGTCCAACTATTATCGTTATATCACAATAACCACTCTTTAAAATGTAAAAATATCCACCCGTGCGAAGCCGGGACGGGCCGCTAGTACATTATAATAAGGGTTAAGTAAATGGCGAAACGTCCATGCGTAATTTTTCTTATGACTTTGAGGTTGTCAAAGTCATCTTTGATCATAAAATCTGAAGCTTTAATCGGATTTTACTCAAGGTTTTTAGATTTTATTTACGAGTACAAATAAAAATGTCCCACCTTCAATTCTTTTGATTTGCTATGCTAGCAGATATATGGGTCAAGTTGAACGCATTAAATAATCATAACATGGAGTAAAATTCGTTGTTTTTTTATGATAAGTTCAATAGTCTTCGTACACAAGTTATTTTTAGATATTACACATTTGATAACTTCAAAGGGACTTGACCCAACTGTAATAACTAGGTAAGTATCTCATGTATATCAAAGTATATATACACATCTTTGAAACAAAGGACTCTATGAAAAACATAATGTTAATTAGTTATGTTATTTATATTGTATTATTTTTATTTATTTAACTCTTTAATGCACCATAAATAAAAATATACAATCACAAGTGAATAATTCAAGTGAAATACAATAATTTGATTAGTAGCATAAAATCTTCAGATGGTAGATTTTGCGATGTTTTTTTAATTGGTGAAAATTAAATGGTAACCTCGCTTACGCTATCGATATAAGCTGACGGGACACCAGTGAGAGATGATAGATGAGGATGCAAAGCGGATCAGTTGGAACAATAGGATACGTGACGAATTCCACAAGAATTAACCACGATAGTTTCCAAGAGGAACTGTGTGGAGGCCGACTTTAGTCAGGTCACTTGATAGTGTATATTGCTAACAATGGAATTTTAACCCTCGATTTTGCAAAAATGTGGGACTTCAAGCTTCGGGGGCCCCGTTTGTACTTTTTTATGGATGATAATGGAATAGTAACTCCGCCTACGCTATCGGTATATACTGCCGGGGTAGTGGTGAGGGATTATTGGTAACAATGAAAAGGCAGGTCAGTTAGCCTATCGTGACGAATTCAACGATAAATTAGTAATGAAGGTTTCTAGGGGGAATGATATATATAAAAAAAAAAAAAACTTATTTCTCATTTTAAATTTACGACACTGATATTAATTGGAGAATTTCAATCACAACGGGATACAATGGACTATATACTATTTTTAGTCACCAGGTTTATAATGACATGTAAAATCTATTATGACATGGATATACAATAAAACAGCGGTATATTTTTTAAAGAATGAAAATAAGGTATTATTTAAAATGTAAATTAAACTGAAGGAAATAGATTTATCTACGTTATATCTTGATCTGTACAAATATAATTTTTTTATTACCATTATCTATAACACTTAGCCCAATTGAGCCCACTGAGGGATAAGAGAAATTTTTTTTCCACCTGTGTCCATTCTGTGTCCAATAGGAATAAATGTAATAATTATACCACTTTATCCTTCTGATTTTTTTTTTGATAATAATAAGTACAGTCGGTTAGAAAAATATAAATATTACAAAAATTACCGTTCACTATCAGTATAAGGAGTAAGAGAGATATACTCTTTAAAATCTTACGGAGTTTTTAAGGAGGCCTTGGCCTCTTAGAAAAGACTATGTCTACGCAATACTAAAAGTTCCGCTTGGATCCTGAGCTGAGCATTACCCACTTAGCCTATGATCATAGATTAGGCCTTAAATACGTTATAATCTTATTAAAAGAATTAAAAAACGACTTTTTATATCGCGCCAATCTATTCCGCCTTTGCTATTTTTTGGAGTCAATTTGAGTTTGGTAGCTCGATAAGAAATGGGTTAAGGAAAATCCGCTTCTCTGTAAATAAGTAAATAAAATCACTCCTGAAATTAGAGAGCGCAGGATTGTATTTCGAACCGTTTGTGCTCCTAAAAGCTAAATTGCCAAAATGGAATTAATGTAATTGCGCTAGAGAAAATAACTACCTTTTTTGTTGCTATTTTAAACTAACATTTGTTCGCGACTTCAGCTGTATTCACTTGTGATGTGCATTGGAATGAGTTACTTATATAAAAAGCTGTTTATGTTACTCTAATAATTTATATTAAATTTTATTCAAACAAATGTAATTATAATGGACTATAAAATAGGAGTATAATACTATATATATATAAGTATTATAAATTAACCTAAAATTTTTTTCATTTTATATAAATTAGTTACATTTTTACTTTTTAAAATAGAGCTTAGAACAATAACGCATAATGGATAAAAGTACGTAAATATGACAATTTCAAATTAATAATTATAAAAGTAACTAATAAATTCGCTGCAACGTCTCTCAGTGTTAATACGATACATAGGTCAGTAATAATGATTTTTACGATACAAATAACATTCATTATATTTTCATATAATAAATGATTATTTATTAGATTGATTAACCTAATAAAAAACAAATATATGAAAATTCGCATAAAATTTATCCATACAAATATTATTGAAATTCTGATAATTCGAATTAGTAAAAAAAAGGTACAATTAATCTTTAATATAATTCTTAGAACAGCAAGAATTCTTATTTCAAACAACACAGGTGCGGATTTGGTCGATCATAAAATTCAAATTTTTTATCAGCGAATTTTGCTTTGATAAAGTCACATTTCTTTATTCGGTCAGAGTACGACGGCTAATGCAGTATACTCACAGTGCAGGCAGGCAAGTACGGCCAGTATGAGTAAGGCACGCATGTTCGTGGTTGTATACAAAGCGCAACTGATAGAACGTTTCCTCTGGGCCGGGTGTGAACGGCCGTCATATCAGGCTATCTATCTCCTGGCACGAGTATGCTGCGGTCTCGAGATTTGTGTGCGTGCTTTGTATTACTCTCTCTATATTTACTCGATATAAAATAATAAAATTGTCACCATACAATGTATCTACAAAGGAGGCATTGAAGAAAAATCGGGGTCACAACAACAGAATTGGTTTTAGCAATTAGTCATAACAAGAGAATTGTATATTTCATATTTATTATATATTTTGCATCATGTTAAAACTACTGCATCAAATTGGATACAGTTTTTACAGCGTATGTGAAAGTCGAACTTAAAATCTGGTGGACATCTTATCTTGGCTACGCCATCGAGAAGTAATCTATATGATTGGTTTCTCTACGTCTAAAAAAAACGATATCCTCTTGAGGTAAATGGAAAAAAGGAAACATAAATTTGAGCATTTTTGAATAGTCATTTTTTCATTATTTTTTATGTTGTTCTTAGTCCGGGCCACGTCAATTTAAACCTGAAACCATATAACCTATAATTCATATAGAATGGAACAATAAAAGCATTTAGTGTAGTTTTTCGTGATAAAAATGTTAATTCTTAAAAAAAAAAAGAAAAATTAGAAAACTTTGTTTTTTATAAAATTACTATGTTTTAATGTAATGATTACCGGTTTCACTTACGTGTAAATAGTTTGAGAAAGCTCGACTAGTTTGAGGATCAATTCGTGATCCTTATACAAGAACGGCTATGACGCGATTACGAGCATGACATCAGGTAGTTATTACATTAAAATATAACATGTGCTGACGAAACTTTTAACAATAATATTTACTCACGGGATTAAATTAATACGATATAAAAATACGTCAAAATCATAAAACATATGGACAAAAAAATAGGGCTGATTGAAAATTTGTTCTTTTTTGAAGTCGGGTAATGATCTAATTATTAAACTGGCCTCTACCAACTGTATCAGATTACGTTTATTAATGTTTTGGTTTTCAGAATAATCGGATGCGTCATGTGTGCAGTGCACACATGACACGTACGGGTACAATGGCCGAGGACAATGACCTTAGAATCATTTGGACAACATTTTTCATTGCCGCGTTAATACTTGTATGTAGTAATGGGGAGATAAAATATAGTATTTAACACACATACGCAATAATTGATTGCGCTCATTTCACTATAAGAAACGTGGCTAAATAGATTTCTTTTTAAAGACATAAAAATGGAATGATAACTTTGTTTATGCTACCGGTATACGCTGGCTGGGCAGTATAAGTACTAGTGAGGAATAATGATGATATGTAAAGATGAAGGCAGATCAGTTGGTCTATCGTGACGAATTCACTGGTAATTAAACATGTTTTTTTTATACGACTTAGAATGGCAAACAAGCTGACGGCCTATCTAATGGAAATTGGTAACCGTCGCTTATAAACATGAGCAGTATCATGGACATAACAGTACACACACATACTGTTTCGCCCATAATACCCCCCATGCGTTGCCATTCCTGAGGACTCAGGTGTTATTCCTCTGTACCCTGTAAATTCACGCCATATCTCACCCTTCAAACCGAAACACAGCCATGCGAACACAACTGCTTCACGGTAAAAACACGAATGGGACAGAGGCACCCAAGCAATCGGCTTTTGTACAAAGTCTCCCTATAGTAAAATAGTGTACCAATAGGGCGGATGGAATTGCTTTCCGCTACACCAGTATCCAACATTTTATTGACATAATCAAACTCACCTGTCAAACTGACAACTTAGAAATATATTGCTTTAATGACGTGTGTATTCATGCAATATAAATGGCGGCGAATATTTGGATATGCTAAGGGTATAGTTCATCATCATTTCAACCATTATCCGTCCACTGTTGGACATAGGCCTCCCTCATAGGTTGCCATATGAAACAGTCCTGAACCACCTGTATCCACTGACTCCCTGCAGTGCGACCACTTTCTATCAGGTGGGCCGTTAGCTTGTTTGCCATTCTAAGTTGTATAAAAAAAAAACACGCTGACGGGGTACCAATTAATGATGATATGTCAAGAAGAAATCAGGTCAGTTAGCTCATTGCGTCGAAGCTCGCTGTCCGTAGTATTTTCTATAACGAGGTCCGTTTCAAGGGAAACAGAGAGAAACATATAACGGAAGTATATTTATTTATAAAAAACAATCATTTTAATACGGGCTATGTCAACATGATAATAATGTTGAGATTACTTCACGTTTTCTGCGTAAACTAAGACATAAACATGATAAAGTTTAGCCCAAAACAATATAATGACAATGATAAAGAATCTTCCAATTAAACAAATAACTAATAGCTACTTAAGGCACGCGATCTTTTTATTTCATTCTATTATTAATTTTTACTGGCAACTTTTCTAAGAATATAAACATAATTAAACGAGTGTCTAAAATACTGACTGGTGATTTTCATGAAGAAATGACTGTGTTATGGGGACTAGTAGGTCCATTGCTAGTAATAGATCCTAACAAGGGGGAAGGGGTTGTTTTTTTTTTTTTTATTGGATGAAAATGGATTGGTAACCCCGCCTGCGCTAACGGAATACGCTGGCGCGGCACCAGTGAAAGGTGATCGATGAGGATGAAAACAGGCCAGTTAGCCCATCATGATGAATTCATCTGGAATTAATCATGATAGTTTCCAGGGGGAACCGCGAGGAGGTCGACCTGGTTGGGTATATTGCTAACAATGGGATTCTCAGTCTCCATTACTAACAATCCCTTTCCCCCTGGGAAGGGGTTGTTAATAATAGAGATTAAGAGTTCTATTGTATATAGCAATATACCTAACCAGGTCGATCACCTCGTGGTCTCTCTGGAATCCATCGTGCTGAATTCAAAGTGTATTCATCACGATGGGCTAACTGATCTACCTTTTTCATTCACATCCATCTTCCTTTACTGGTGCCTCGCTAGCGTACGCCGATAGCGCAAGCGGCGTTACTATTCCTTTATCATCCATTAAAAAAAACCTAATAGATTGACTTCTTATTGCTAAAGGTCTTCATTTATAGTAATATAGGGTATATTACCAGGTCATAATAATGGTCCTATTGCTTTTAATAACCCACTCAGGTAACCTCCACGTGATGCCTCTTGAAAATCTCCGTGGTTAATTCTAGATGAAATCGTCACAATGAGTTAATTGATCTGTTTGCATCCTCACTGGTGCCCCGTCAGAGTATACCAATAGCGCAGGCGGGATTACAATCCATTTTCATTTATAAAAAAAATAAGTCGACTTCCACGCTGCTTACCTTTGGATACCATAGTGATTAATTCATTATGACGGGCTAACTGTCCTGATCTATTCCTCACCTATCATTTCTCACTGGTATCCTGTTAGTGTTAAATAATAGCACAAATGGGGTTACCATTTCCATGACATAATATTATTCATGCATAAAATATAATGAGATGACAACTTCTGACTGGTCCTTTAACGAGCAACAACAAAAATAATCGATTAATTTCTTTGCCAGGTGACAGGCCTACATTTAATCGACCATATTCGAATTCAACATATCAAAATAGTCGTTCGTTGATTGAATCGATTTTAATACTACTTTTAGAATCGAATGCGTTTATTTTCATGTTGTTGTTATTATTATTAATATATTTAGTCGTTAACTGTTTGCTACTAAACATAGGCCGTTCCCATCTTCTTCATAAAGGTAGTTTTGCCAGTAGTTATTACGCTTGGCAGGCGGATTGGCAACTGCAGTTGTCTTTAGTGATGTTTTGAGAAGGACGCTCCACTCCATCCATTGACTATTAAGTTTCCTTAGTTGCCTCTTACAGCATCCACGGGAAAGGAAAGGGTGACCACACGGAGGAAAATTTCGTGTTGGTTCCCTTTTAATTTGTTTAGATTGAGGACGATATTTAAATATTTTTTTTATATTTTTAACATTTAATCGTACTTTCTCCCATTTTCGAGTATCTATAGAGAGTTTTAACTCTCTATAGATACTCGAAAATATTTATACGAACTGTACTTTACTTATAAAAGTATTCTAGAAAATTCTTACTAAGTATAATAAAATTGCTCTATCCTATTAGTGCTTGAAGTTGAAAGTGAGAGAAGTAATGAAACGTACTAATTGTCAAAGCTAATTGGAGCACCTACACTTAAAGATTTAATACGATTTAAGTGTTAAATGATAACTATATTATTTTAGATCATAGTATTTTTTTTTTGCAATTTTAAATAACAAACAATATCGGCATGGCATTATTACAGATTACGATATTGCACCCATGAAATCTTTCATTGTTTACCATTCTTAAATGTGGAGTTGTTATAAATATAATATGCATACACCTGTTTGATTCTCTGTTGATTAAATTGACCTTTAAACGCCAATTGTGCGACGAGTCCTTAACACTTTTTCCAATATTATATTCATGTAAGTACGTCATTAACTCTCTGAAGTGTTCTTTCGATATTTACATATATGCTTTGCCTCAAGGCTCGTTGTAATCTCCGTGAAAATACTTCAACTTTGTGAAATTCTATACTTATATATTATGTAAAATTTATTTGGAAAAATCTCTCTTCTTAGAGAAATATTTTCTTGTTTTAGCGTCTTAGCAGTTTATAGAGATGCGAGTAAAATTTTTGATTCCATTATATACACATATGCATGTATGTATATGAAGTATTTCCAAGGTAAATATTAAATATGTAACTCGTGTTATGATGTTCTATTACGCTGATCTCTAAATCGCTCAAGATATTTTAATGATATTTTATAAGTGTCGTTTTTTTAAGCCACTGAGGTGGTAAACAAGCATACGACCTACCTGATGGTAATAGTTATCTATGAACGCCTGCTATACCAGGGGCATTATACGCGCATTTCCGACACTGAAGAAACTTCTTTACTTTTTTTTTGAGATGCTCTTGCTATAGTTTCTTAAAAAGCCTTGACAGGGAGTTCATTCCATAATTTAAACGTTCGTAGGAGGAAACATCTTAGAAACTGCATTGTATGCTACCGTCTAGGCTCTGAGATATGGGGACCAATTTTCTGTCGATGGTGTCGATGGCGAGCTGCTCGATGGTAGAAACTGTTTTCTACCATCAAACAGCTCGCCATCGACACCGTGGGCATCATCCATTGTCCAAGCGATAGGACACGCAGATTGAGACAAAATCCCTCCTAGAAGTCAATACCACTTGGATACAATAAGCCTGGGTTCATCGACAATTCTCATAGTTCGTCGTTGCACTAAGTTGAAAGTTTCAACATTTAAATTTTTACTAATATTTTAAACGTAAAAGCGAGTTAGTTTGTGAACCCTTGGGGCATTAATAGCTCAACACGAAAATAGGTGTATACGTATATAATATTTGGAATAGGTAAGGACATAGACTACGTTTTATCCCGTTGAATCAATATTCCCAGGTAGTGCGGTTGAAGACGTAAGTGTACATTAGTTTTAGAATACAAAACAATTCAAAAAATTGGAATCACAATTAAACTGATGGCTCATCCGACGGAAAATAGTTACTGTCGCTAAAGAAATTGAATATGGCGTATTAAAAATTATTTTCAGTTTGGTGTCTTAAAAAGGATGTATATGTACAATAAAATACTCTCAAATTTTGTGAAGCTTAACTCGCATCTTGGGATGGACACAGGACAATACGGGGATAAGCACAGCCACCTGGCCCCTGTTAAATAGGCTATCAACATGAGTATTACAGGCAATACTGATGCGCTCGTGATACCAAGTTTAAGGAGGATTTATTTATTTATATTTAGGAAAACATACAGCCTTATTCAATCAATACGTAGTCAAGTTACGTCTATGTTAAGCCATAAATAGAGTTTTCACATTTGAGTAATTAAACAATCGATTGGTTTTTATATATGCAAAAAATAATAATAATTAGAAAGTTATAAATTTTGTTAATACACATTTTAGTTTAATTTGTAATAATAAAATAAATACAATATAAAGCATAACAGCCTTATTAAAATAGTCAATTCAGTACAGCAGACCGAGATCCAAAGAATGATCCTGCCATTTGCAACTTAATTGCATGCGGTTTTGTGTGGAATAGATCAATATCAAAGTTAAACAATAACTTGTTAAACCTAACTGGAACTCTGCAGAAATATGAATTTCGCTTGAAATTGATTCTATATTTTGGTACTAATAAACACGGCGGTTTCCTATGAACTTTAGAAGGAACAAAAAGATTTATATTTTGAACTAGTTCAGAACAATCAATATCACCTCTAGTAAAACTGACTAGCAAAGTTTTTTTTTTAATAATAATAATAATAATGTTTATTTATTTCTGACAACTTTTTGAGTACAATGAACAATTTATAATAATACCATAGATACATTAAAGTTGCAGAGAACTGGTGCCTGAACTGGGTATCCGATGAACCCGTATCACAAGGCACCAGGACCTCTCCCTGGCGTGAAACATTTTATGGTAATATATACAGTTGGAGAACATAAAAGTTGTTAGGCGTAGCAGATACAATACGAACACATGATAATACATATACACACATAGTTATATAATATTTAATAGCTTAAATAACAAACAGTCAAACTGGATATAAGAAATATATGAAGTTACATCTGTTACAAGAGGTAAGAAATAAAATTCTTTTTTTTTAAACTTTTACAAAATTCACATCTCCCCTCTTAAGGAGAGGAGATGGTAACTAACCCCCGGCAGAATCACAGTCGGCCCGGGTTCAGGGCCCCAGGGAGAGAAATTATTATTATTATTATATACGTTATAACACGGACTACATACCTGAGGAGCATACTCGAGTAAACTATGCACGGTACAGGATTTTGATAAGTTTCAAACTACTGAAATTGGCAAAGGACCTAATAATAAAACCGAGCATTCTTAATGCCTGATTGAACTTTAGAGTTTTGCATTATGCGTGATTCCTAGATCTTTGACATGATCAATCCTTACCGTCTGCGAACCTTTCAAGGTATAATTTAATTTTAAAGGAATCGATTATATATGTATATAAAAAAATTGTGTGCAACTTGCTTATGTTCGAATTTAATTTATTTTTTGTTTTATTTTATACAATTTAGAATGGCAAACACACTGACGGTCCACCTGATGGAAAGTGGTAACCATCGCCAATAGACATGAGCAGTACCAAGGATATAACAGAATTATACTGTTTCGCCTATGATACCCCCCCATGCGTTGCCATTCCTGAGGACTCAGGTGTTATTCCTCTGTACCTTGTAAATTCACTGCTATATCCCACCCTTGAAACCGAAACACAGCCATACAAACATTACTGCTTCATAGTAGAAACACGAATGGGACAGAGGTACCTAAGCAAACGACTTTTGTACAAAGACTTTTGCTTGGGCATCTTCTGGTTTTTGTGTAACATTTGGTTATTGTACGTCATTATCAACGGTAAGACATTGTTATCAGTATTAAGGCTATTAATATACGTCCAAAAGGTAACTATGTCTAAAATATAAGTATGATATCTCAATTTATAGGTATCTGTAACATTTTAATAATAATTGCTTATACACGTATATAATATACTTTTGTATTAAGAATTTTCCTTTCAATTTATTTTAATTTTTACTAGGAAAAGGTAACAGAGAAAATCCAGATGAGCTTTTTTTTATTTTTATCTTCACTGCTAACTGAGAATCATATTTGTCTAAATATAATTTTCCTTCTTTGTGTATTTATTTAATTATAATTTTCCAGACATTGATTTCCAGACAAAATGTTTGTATTTTGTGGTCGTTTAAAATGAAACGAAATCCTTTAATTTAAATTTTTATTTAATATAAAAGAAATTATCACAATAATTTCGCATTAGCGATTTATCACATGATAAAATAATAAACAATACCATTCAATAATAGTTGAAAAAATTAATTATTATATCTCACAAAGTAATTGTACCCACAGGCTTGAATTATTTTGTACTAGCTTTTATCTGTAACTACGTCCGTATTTCTGGGATAAATGGATAAAATGTAATCTATACTTTTCTCTATTCCATATAATGTTATACCAAAATTCACAGTGATAACCTGTTAAGGCGATATAAGGCAACAAACAAATAAAATCACATTCATATTTACAACAATAGTAAGGACAAGCGTATTGGGTAAAAACTATACCCGGTAAGAAACGTCAGAGCTCTTCATATCTAAAAATGGTGGCTTAGAAACTGTTGATATTAGAGGACGCTACCTTCATGCAGGTAGTGAACTTTAACCCCTCTTTATATAGGTAGCGGATAGTAGTAATCTTACAAATATAATAAAATTTCAACTAGATGATATCTGTACATGAGAGATATTTAAGTAAAGTTGATATAAGGGTTTTATCAAGAGAAATACTCGTAACAGTCAAAACAACAATTTTTGCAGATTTTGTCTGACAAAATTACTACACTAAATTGTATGCAGTTTTCATAGTTGTATTCCTGAAGGTGTAACTTAAAATCTGGTGTATGTTTTATCTTGATAAGCTATTTAGAAATGATGTATTTAATTGGTTTTCCTACTTCTGAATATCACGCGGACGAAACTGATTAAAATCTGGTATGTAATAATATTACTATAAACAAATACAAAATAATAAATTCAAGTAAACAAGTACTCGTGGAACAATTTTTTTTTCGAGAAAGTTAATGCACTTTTTTTACTTTTTGGTAAAATATTTTTTTTCTGGGATTTTTTTGAGCCTCTATTAGTGAATATTGAAATCAGTTTTGAAGAATGAGTTACGTTAATAAATGTATTGTATACATCAATATACAGGGTAAAATAGTTATCATGCTCTGAAGGGAGTGTTTTATTGACGAAACTTATGACGGTCTATCAATTGAGATATTTTGTCAGTAGTTGTAATGCTTGGCAGGCAGAAAAATACCATTCCATTATCATGTATTAATAAAAAAAAGTGCAGTGAATTGTCTGCTATTCTGGGGCGTATTTATAAAATAAAAAAAAAAAAGAAAATAGAGGCAAAATATTTATAAATTGAAAGCATTTTACCTTATATAATATCTGTGCTCGTACCTACGAGTACAACGAACTTATTTTTATCCTCTCATATTTTACATGTATATTGCATTATCAATATGAGTCAAGTGTATATTTAGAATATTTATAAACGGTAATAGTCCACTTACGTCTTAGATTGCCTGTTCAAGGATTGCAGTCGTAGGTGTACGTAGTTATTTGATTATTATTGTAAAAATTCTAAAGAGAAGTTTTATTCACGAATAAATTATTTTAAGAAATATTTTCTAAGCGTTTTAATTAGGTATGGCCTTTTATTTGCCTTATATTTTTCTTTTTTAAGGGCATTGACCTAGTCAGATACGTTACAAACATAAGCTAATTAAATACAAAATATTTGGCTGTGAATGCAAGTTGATACTATGAACATCATAAAATAGCTAACTATAAACAGTGTTTATGGCCACATTAAATCATAAATCTAAGTTTTTATTCTACACTAGAGAAATTCATAATTAATTCATCACTTTGAAATTAGCAAGTAACAGACTGACGCTCAATAATAGGAAAGTACTTGAAGAGATATGATTTACCTTTTATTTTGAACAACGTAGTTTAATTATAGTATCTTTATCTCTACAGACTTATTTATATAAATTACACGTATTATTTTTTTCAGACAGAAATAATTCACATATAAATCATACCTAATTGAACGTAATAAACATATTTTTAGGAACACTAGAAGCTTGATTGACCTTAGTAGGTAATTTACTTTTTCATTCAATCTGTAATTCGATATTTTCCATGTAAATATGATTCTTTGAATAGGCTCCATTGTATTTCTATTATATATAATAGAAAATAAGTAGATATTATTTGGAGATCGTCAATAGTTCGGTATGTATAAATCCTCTGTATTTTTTTCTTTTTTATTTTCATAATCGTCATTGGCATGAATACAATTGTATGAATGCTAATGAATTTGGCATTCAGCTCCGTATTACATTACTCTATTTGTGGAGTTGTATAGACGTTGACAAATGGTGCTTCAGGTCCCTCTTGCAGCCAATTATCGGCCGAGTACTGATTGTTCTGTCTCTCGACGACGTGAAAGGTATACGCGTGTCGACTCTTATCCGATTTGTTATGTGCGCTCTTGTGAACAACGTGTCCGTGAATTAGTATGCACGTCCCTGAAAAAAGAAGTGTTTTTTTTTTATAAACAAAGATGGAATCTTGCATCTGTCTACGGCACCAGTGGAAGATCAAATGTTGACGATATGGTCAGGTTATTTGGTCTATTGTGGCGAATTCACAATTTTTTTATAACACAGAGAACTAACGAGTATGCTGGTCATCTATTGTAAGTGGTTACCGCCTATGAGCACCCGCAATACACGAAGAAATGCAAGTGTGCTGCTGACATTTTAAAAAAGGAATATGCTTTTTTTTTCAAGGTTTCTGTATGGGTTCGGAAATAGTGCTGCAGTAAGTTGATTTGAAAGCATGGTTGACCATGAAACAAATAGTTACACGAAAACATTGAAAAATACACCGGAGAAGACGGCTACTGATTTAGATAGTTGAAATATAAATTTATGGGAAGTTATACGATGGTGAAATTCAGCAGCACGTTTGGACCTGAACTATTTCTCTAAACACTTCCCGTGATACATTCGATAAAAGATGCATAAAGATGTAACGTCTCTACGTAGTTTCAGTTAGTCGAGTCGGAAAGTAAGGCGCTGATCATCAATAATCAGAAATTAACCACAATGGAGAGTAACATCATTCATCATTTCAGCCGCCTGTCTGGCCACTGCTGAACATTAGCTTTCCTCATAAGGGAAGTTTTGCTATTAGTTGCCACGCTTGGCAAGAGGGTTGGCAACAGCAGTTATGTGGGGAAAAAAGAATTATTAGTAGTAGGGATTAGCAACCCTATCATATACTCTGTTAGGTCGACCTCCTCTCAGTTCTTCCTGGAAATCATAGTGATTGATTTATTTTTGAATTCGTCACGATGGGTCAACGGACCTGTTTTCATCTTCATTTATCTCTGACTGGTGCCCCGCCAGTGTATACCGATAGCGCTGATAGGGTTACCACTTCATTATCATCCATAAAAAAAACCTCAGTTAGGTTTATAGACATGTTTTAAGAGGGATGCTGTTGCCCATTCCTCTACCATTAAATTTTGTTAATCGCTTTTTACGATACACATGGGAAAGGAAGGGGTGGCCTATTCTATGGCGGGACCACATGGCCTATTTCATCGAGAAATATTTCTCTATGGGAATATTTGTTTATGAGCTTTAATCAGCATGACTAATTGATACGTTATAGTTACCATGGTCGATAAGCGGATCGGTTGAACTGCCACATTAAATCGATTGCATATATATTTCGGTATTGCCCACAATAAAGACTGGTATCAATTTAGATTAACCTTTTATCTTGTTTCTGTAGGTATTTAAAAAAATATATATTTCAATCTAAAAATGTCGGCTTGTCTCTTTTGATTAAAAATGCACTAGCAGGTGAGTAATGCTTCTGTGATTGCAACCACTCATGGGTTACAATGATTGTTTGTATCATATTATTAAGGTGTGATGATGTTATTAATATGTGATTATTATTATGTTTTTATACTCCTATTTTTAATGATTAGTGACAATAGTGACATCCTCATGTAGTCACGACACTCAATGATGTGGAACAGAAAAATCTAGGACAAATTTCCTGCTGAAATTTGTCCTAGATATTACAATATGGGGCTCTTCAAAAGGAGCGTATTAAGGTCTCTTCAGGATCGACAATGTACAAAAGTACAATTTCTAGTATTGCAGGCATCCATAAGCTACAGTGACCCTTTATCATCAGATAACTTGTACGCTTGTTTGTTATTTTTTTGGTATAAAATAAAAACATATTAGTAGAAACACGAGTTTTTTTATCTTTCAGTCACCTATCGAAGGACAGACTGAGAATAATTTAAATTTTACATTCTACTAATGATCCGCTTTCGCACGGGTACATAGAATTTTCGAAGCTAATACATTATTAGCGAGAGACATAAGTAAGAGCTGATAATGCAGCTTTCTATAGGTGAAAGAATTTTTAAAATCAGCTGAAAGTTTGTGAGTTTATCATATTACATTACAAACAAATATTTTTTTGTATTATTATTTGTATAGATTATCTTTCTCGTATAAAAGAATTTTTGTCTTGATTACATACCTTTGCTAACAGGGACTGGTGTGAAACTCGATTCGGGGTATACAGAGGGCGGCTTGTCATATATAAGGGCTTGTTTTTCGTCATTATTTGGATTACGTATAAGACGACGATGGACGCCCGATTTGTGGCTTCCTCTAGCCATCCAGAGGCATCCATTTTGTATTGTGGAATCCTCTAGAGATATCCAGAAGCCGACCGGTGGTATCGGCTCTGTATACAGGTATGATGCGTCTTGATGTGCTACGACTGTAATTAATAATATATTTTTAATTTCGAATAGTCCTACCAATGGGTAAGTTCACTACCAATATGTTTCAAAGGAGGGGCCACAGTGTTATAACGTAAACAAATTTCATCTCTGCTTTAGTCTGTAAGAAGAGGTGGGGGAAAAAATTTAAAAACTTAAAATTTTCATATTTATGTAATTATTTTTTTAAATTACTTATTGATTGTCAATGCTTATTAAATATACCAGACTATGTGCTCATAAGATGTCACAGAACCTCATAAGCACACGATTAAAAGAAAATGAAATTTTACACATTTTTTTTTTAAATTATGTAAGTGTCTGGTTGATTTATCTAGTGACTAAAGAGTTTGAGCATTTAAGACTATAGTACTTACAGTGAGTGTAGAAAGTATTCGTACACCTAGGGTTGTAATAAAAAAAATACGAATTTGATAGACTTTCTTTTATTTATCTAATTTAAATCAATACTATTAAATATTTTAACATTCCCGCACTTTGTTTATGATAATTTTTGTTTTTTAATAAAAAAAATTATACAACATAAAAATATTTTTACGTTAACTAAGCAAATAATGACAAACAAAAAGTATTCGTACACTTATAAAATTTGTAAGTAAATGAATATTAAAAAAATATTAATACTTTGTTGGACCACCGTTAGCATTGATGATAGCTTGGAGTCTCTGCGGCATCGAATCAACTAGTTTGAAAATATAAGAAGACGGTATCAATGCCCATTCTTCGCGAAGCGCAATTTTTAGTGTTTCTTTACTCGAAATTGGTCGATTTCGAATTTTATTATCGAGATAATCCCACACATGCCCTATAATATTAATATCAGGTGATTGAGGAGGAATCTCTAGGTATTTTGGAGCGTTAAACAGGATCCATGCTTTAGTATTCCATGCTTTATGTTTAGGGTCATTATCTTGTAAAAATATCCAATTATTGTTAAAACCCATTTGAGCTGCACTAGAGAGAAGATTCTCTTTTAAAATATTAATATACGTTTTGTCATCCCTAATTCCATCAATAAATGCAAGTTTTCCCACCCCAAAATCACTCATGCAACCCCATACAAATACTGACCAACCACCGTGTTTTACCGTTGGACATAAATTTTCTTTTTTATATTCCATATTAGGTTCTCTCCATACCATATGATGTCCATCCGATTTGAAAATATTATATTTCGATTCATCTGAGTAAATAACAGTTTGCCAAAAATGTTTTTTTTCATTAATATATTTTTTTGCGAATTCTAATCTTTTTTTTCTATTAATATCATTTACCCAATACTTTTTACGCGCAGTTCTTCCATGATAATCGTTACTACGTAATACGTTCCGAACGGTACTGACAGAAATATGGCAATCATTGATATTATTAATTTCTTGTAACACTCGAGGGGCACTAATTTTTGGATTTTTTTTTACACAATTTAAAATTTTCCGATCCAATCGAGGCGTGATTATTGATGAACGCCCCACCTCTGGGTTTGTTTTTTAGTGTTTTAGTAATAGAAAATCGATCAATTACAGTCTGTACGGTTGAACGTGGTCTATTGACAAATTTTGCAATTTCACATAATGATTTGCATTGATTATGCAAATTAATAATTATTTTTCTCTCCTCTTCACTCGTTTTTTTTGCTTTACGACCCATTTTTGTAATTAAACACGTCTATACTTGTCACGAGTGCAACTAAAACGTCTAATATCTATACCTACGTATTAAAAATGACCTTGGCATTGTAGGCATATGAAAAATTCGATTGAATAAATGATTTATACAGAATTTCATTTAAAAAAGAATGAATGTACGAATACTTTTTGTTTGTCATTATTTGCTTAGTTAACGTAAAAATATTTTTATGTTGTATAATTTTTTTTTAAAAAACAAAAATTATCATAAACAAAGTGCGGGAATGTTAAACTATTTAACAGTATTGATTTAAATTAAATAAATAGAGGAAAGTCTATCAAATTCGTATTTTTTTTATTATAACCCTAGGTGTACGAATACTTTTTACACTCACTGTATGTCTAGATTGGGACGTTAATAAGTTAGAAAGATATGTCATTTAACATAATTATTTCAAAGTCTACTTATCGAGTTAACCAAAGTTACCTTCTCCTCCCAACCCTGGGTTTTTATAAATGTACATGCTCTGGACTACGGCTGGTTCCTTGAAACCTAGTTGATGGCAAACCAGCTTGACTCTGTCACTGTACGTGTAACATCTAAAAATTGGGTGCAATAGATGTAGCGCGTGTCCAACCTGTAATAGGAAAATTTTTACTCATATTAAACTAATTATAGCAAAATGTTTGCTCCATGTAATTGTGGAATATGAATATACCTTTTGAGGATGAAAAGAGGTAATGATAATTACAATATCATTACTTCTTTTAATCCTCAAAACATATAGGACTTAGGTTTCCTTCCCATAATAATTACAGAGTAGAACAGATTAAGATGCATCTATCTTATCATCATGCATCATTCATCATCATGTACTACCTTAATTTATATGAATACTAGCAACTCGCCCTGGCTCCGCACGAGTAGATAGGTAGAAGATTTTTAATTTTCTTAAAAATAACAACTCATGTTACTCACTAATAATGTATCTTTCATTAGTGAATGAATTTCTAATTTTTCCAGTGAAGTTTCCAGTATTCTATTTATCTCTATGTCAAAATTCATCATAATCGAATACTTATACAAATGTTTAATTAGGATACACTATATACGAACCGTGTGTAAAGTAATTATCTAAATTACAGTGAAACCTTATAAAAATTCGTTGCGTGATGAAATAAGGGGAGAAACGGATATTAGATGTGGATAGTGACTTTGTATTATTTTTTTCTATTAAAAGAAGTATAAAGTAACGTGAATTTGCAATAGATTGTATTCAAATAAATAACCAACTTAATTTTTTTTTATGCAACTTAGAATGGCAAACGAGCTAACGGCCCACCTGATGGAAAGTGGTAACCGTCGCCTATAGATATGATCAGTACCATGGACATAACAGAGTATACTGTTTCGCCCATGATACGTATACCCTCCCCCCATACGTTGCCATTCCTGAAGAGTAAGGTGTTATTCCTTTGTACTCTGTAAATTCATTGCCATACCGGTCTTCAAACTGAAATAAAGCCACGCAAATACAACTAAATGTAAATTAAATATGGCAAAGCTAGTTATTTTAATTTAAAAACTAAATTACTAAATAGACTTTGACAATATTTTTGTAGAATCAATTTGTAAGTACCTATATTTTTTCAGACAAAAAAAATCCAAATTGTTTTATAACTGACGGACTAATAAATAAGATAAATAAAAGCATAAAAAAAATAGAACCGAATTTAGTATAGAACCTACTTACTACTAAGGTTCTAAATTCATATTTTTCTATTTTTTATGCTATTTTTATTAATCATAAAAATAGATTAGTATTGATCTTATATTACTATATCCTTAAAATGAAAAACAGTACAGTTATTACAACAGGCAAAGCCCGAGGCAAAAGTTGAAATAATTGTACAGAAAAAAATAATATAAGACTGCCAGCTTCATACAATACCTTATTTAGTGAGATGCTAGGATCCACCGTCAGCTTCCCATCAGAATCTAATGCGTCCACCTCGAAAAAGTAGCTGATCTTGTCGTTGCTTTCGAGGAAGTATTTATCTCGAAGTTGCTGAAATAAATAAATAACAATATTTGTATATAATGCATTATTATATAGAATACAGTAAGACGAACAGATAAATATTATATATATACTTATAAAGTACAAAAACCAGCTATAGCTATTGATGTAAGGAGTATATCTAGGTAATAACAAAACGCTCATGTTATTAATAAAACATATATATATATATATATATATATATATATATATATTGTCCCGGCATAGAATAGGATAGAATAGAGGCATAGAATTTTATTATAATTTAAAGATTGTATCCCACAAAATGTGACTTTAAGTGTGACAAATAATAACAATAATACCTTCTCTCCTTAAGAGGGGAGATGTAAATTTAGTTAAATACATTAAGTAAGTAATAATAAACTCTTTACTGCGCACAAAAGAGAAGTATACAAGGAGTTATGTACTCCTTGTATACTTCACTTTTACAAAATGTGTATTTACACATTCTTGTATTTACAAAAGGCAGCATTATCGCTCAAATCAAATCAAATATAATATCATATAATATATCATTAATATATATAATATAAATCAAATATACAAAACCAGTTATAGGTCAGTCAGGTCTAGGACTGACGGAGTTATTAGGTAATAAAAACAAAAAAAAAATACAACTGAAATGAGTAACTTCTTCTTTTTGAAGTTAGTTGAAAATAAAAAAGCACAATAAATAAAAATGCTAAGTTTTAGCGTAAACCGTTAGAGTAGGCGTGGTTAAAATTCCATTAGTATCTATTTAAAAACCGAAGAACCTCGGCATACTTTGGGTTTGTAAAAAAATATTTCATCATACATATGCACCCATATGCAAAATGATATGATTTCATTTAATTTTATTTGAATTTGCCATAGCAGTAACGGTAATAGTCGACGAATGCTTTTGACTATGCCATTAGGAATAATAGTCGTGAACATATTCATTTATGGTTTCACAAATACGGGTACCATTACATAAATAACTTAATTATAATGGACGAAGGCCACTATAACAAACGATAAGAAACCAAATAACGGTTTTCCTTAAACTGAACAATCTACCCCAAAACAAATAGGGAGGACTCAATATTGTGTTTGTTTTACGATTAAGCCGAACATATACATAGTTTGTCGTTTGTGTTGTGTCGTATCGAACTGGATTAAGTTGCTTAGGACGGAGAATATATACGATATGTTCACTTACTTGTATATGTTGTCCCACTTTTCGATTTTCGGATTAAATAGGTCGCAATATTTCAAATAATCGAAAGGTATTATGTTTTCATTCTGAGATTTTATTTTATTTATTTATTCATTTATTATACATATACCTACGTAGTTTCGTCTCTTACAATGCTCACGGCAGAAATATCTTAATTATTGTAAAACCAACACTACATTATTCACAGATTAGGTACTATTGTTATGTTACTTTAAATTTATGTTACTTTAATTTTATAATTACTTGCAGTTACTTAACACTTTTAGAACTTTTTTTATTTATTATTTATATGTGAGAGAATAAATTAAGATTTAATGTTAATTTAAACCTAATTCCAATTTTTTAAATTTTTATATTTAATAACTCATTATTTCGTATATAAGGATAGTTGTATTTATTATTTAGGATGGTAGTATAAAATTTTGATAAAAGTTGACTTTTTTAAGGAATTTATAATAGCAGAGTTTCGGCTGTTATGGTCCACATAATGGAAAGTGATAATTATTGCCTATAGACATATACATCACAGAACACAAAAATATTATTAGATAAATAGTATAGTTATTTATTTCATAGAAAACCTTATTGTAATTCTTATTATAAAATCCTTACTAAAAATAAAATATGCTAGTTTTACATTTTTGTTCAGATCTTGCAATAATTATAATATTAAATTTAATAGTAGAGATCTATTAAACTGTAAGATTTTTACCTAAAATAAATATCTCAGATAAGTTATTTATATCTAATTATATATTTATAGTTACCTAATTAATTTTGCCATTTTGCCTTGTTATTTATAATTGAGTTGGTATTTTATTTCTGTCTATTCAATGTTAAATATGTTCTTTTAATTTGTGAAAATCTCGCTGATTCTTGTGTTATTTATATGTATATATATATATATATATATATATATATATATATATATATATATATATATATATATATATATATATATATAACAAGAAATTGTTTGTTTCATAAATAAAATAATGTTATAAATGTGAGTTTGTTTGTTACTTCATAGTGTCTTAACGGCTTAATCAATCGCTATAAAATTTTGTGCAATGAAGCATAGCCTAAAGCAATTGGTATAGAAGCATGACTTTTTTAACAATAATAATCCTTATTCATACGATGATATACAGATTTTTTTACTATTTGCTACTACTCAGGATGAGGTAGCATAGGCGTATTTAGAGGCGGGGCCAATTGGGCCATGCCCACCTCAGAATAAGGAACGGAGTTTTAGCTAGAGATAAAAAAACATTTCCGAGGGTACGTACGCGCCTTTTTTTATTTATAATACTATTTTAAGGGAAGGGGGGCAGAATCCATTACGTACCGTCGTTGCCACGGTACCCCACCGTATACCGATAGCGCAGGCAGGGTTACCATTTCATTTTTACCCGTAAAAAAAAATTACTCTCAATCATCAACGGAGAGGCGTGTTTTAAGACCACTTTTTTTTATACAACTTAGAATGGCAAACAAGCTGACGGCCCACCTGATGTAATGTGGTAACCGTCGCTTATAGACTTGAGCAGTATCATGGACATAACAGAGTATACTGTATCGTCCATGATACCCCCATGCTTTGCCATTCCTGAGGACTCAGGTGTTATTCCTCTGTACCCAGTAAATTCACGCCATATCCCACCTTTCAAACCGAAACACAGCCATGCAAACACAACTGCTTTACGATTGAAACACGAATGGGACAGAGATACCCAAGCAATCGACTTTTGTACAAAGTCTCCCTCTGGTTCCTCAAAGTTCCTCAAAGACCCCCTACACTGCCAAGCGCCCCACGATTCTTAATTATAAACAAAATATTGATATTCAGTTAGCGGCGCGTCATAAATTAGGCGATCGTTCCGAATACAAGCACCAATTCCACCAAAGACAATAAATAAATGTTACGTTATCAATTTTATTCTATTTTTACGATAAAATTATTATGTTATTTGTATGTTTTTGTCATAAATTATTTGTATAATTTTGATTTCACAAAGAACAACGTATTTTTAACTGTGTGTATATGTACATATATATAGGGAAAGCCCCATCGAATTAATAAATCTGTGGTGTACAAAATAACTTATAGAGAGTACAAAATAACTTTATAACACGTCAGTTGGCCGACAGTGACAAATTTCACAGGAATTAACCACGATGGTTTCTAGGGAGAAACGTGTTGAAGTCGACTTGATAAAGTATATTGCTAGCAATAGGGCTTCTAGATCGCATTGCTAACAATCTCATTCTTCTCGATAGTTGAGATACAGATTTATAAAACAAAAATTAATGAGTGACTTCTCTTATTGATTTGGGTGTTTTCTATATGTGTACAAAATGCATTTATGTATGTCTCAGGTTAAACTAACTTTAAATTACCTTACTTGAGACATGTTTAAATGCATAACAACAAATTTCTTATGCCCATAGTGTCCTAATATCCACAGTACAAGTTCTGTTTATTTTGGGACTAGATGACGTTGCGTTTATATAATGGTATTTATTATTTACTCATGTTTTAGATTCTGGCTATAAATTTAAAAAATGTAAGCTCATTTAATAGCTGTTTATTATTACTCGGACCCATTTCCCTGAGGAATATGTCAGAATGTTAACAACTGAATATGACCAAATCACAATAAACAAACCGTTAAATGTCGATAGTATTTATGAGTTTGTTGACGCTATTTTATGATATTACGCTTCTAGAATAAGCCCATTATAGATGAAGTTGCAATATAAATTACAGCAAGGCATATTACGATATGTTTTCTACAGTACTTCGTGCTATAATATATATATTATTATTATGTCATCAAAATATGCATTCTTTTTTATGGGTGAAAATGGTATGGTAACCCCGCCTGCGCTAACGGGATACGCTGGCGGAGCACCAGTGAAGGGTGATAGATGAGAATGAAAACAGGCCAGTTAGCCCATCATGATGAATTCATCAGGGATTAACCATGATAGTTTCCAGGGAGAATCGCGAGGAGGTTGACCTGGTTGGGTATATTGCTAGCAATGGGATTCTCAGTCTCCATTACTAACAATCCCTTTCCCCCCCCCCCCCCATCAAAATATGTAGATAGATATAGCACGATATAACGGTATAGTAAGATCGCAGACCTAATGAGTGTCAAAATATATGTATATTATAGCTACAGTTAGTGACAATCTATGCTATAAATTGATATATAGCTTAGTATTTTGTAATATTATTCTAATATATAAAAATGTAACGCTGAATGTGTTGCTAAGTGCAAATCTCGAGAACAGCTGAACCGGTTTCGCTAATTATTTTTTTTAGAATAGTTCTTGAAGTACGAGGATGGTTCGTACGGAGAGAAAAATTTTAAAAATTCTCTGAAAAAGTCTAGAAACAACACTTTTCTATACTCCCATATAAAGGATTCGTAATATTACTTAAAAGTCAATTTGAACTTTAATATCATATCATAAAGTTCAAGTGTTAGTGGAGAGGTTTCGGGAAGGCAAAACAATTGAGTGACAATAAAAAATGTGAACTTGTAATTTTTATTGTTGTATTTTAAAAGAAATGGAGGTGTTTTATAATTTTTATTTTTTGATTAATAATTAATTGTTGACTCTTTTTTCTTTTTTTGTCTTACTACCTGACCCGGCATCCCGAATAGCAGAATAAGTATTAATAAAAACAAAAAAAAATCAAGAAACAACTATTAGGCGGTACGGTATTTCAATAGTTTAATATTTGGAATATTATAAAATTTTATTATGTTCTATTAATTTAATTATAATATTCTATAGTGACTTTTTAGATACATATCGCGACTTAAGAACTTACATATTTTTTCATAAATTAAGGGCAGTAACACAGGAAAAAAGAAGGTAGGAAAACTTACTGCGCATTTGATACTTAGCATAGTTATTTATTAAATTAAGATGACTTTATAAAAAAAAGTCTACAAGTCTACACCAGAAAGTAAAGTCAAAGGGATTTATAGGGGTTTGAAAGTAAAATCAGCTTTTCTGAAATTATTTATAAACAACTAAACAATTTTTTTTCTAACATAGCTAAAATAATGTTGCACATTTTGGTATTTCTTTCAACATTCTAGGTGAAAAATTGCTCAAGATATAATATGACACTATCATATCTTGGCCAATTTTTCACCTAGATAGGATATTATTACATTCTTTAAAGTGCAGGCGAAACACCTCCAATAAGAATTTTCTCCAGTCAACGTTATTTTAAAAATATCATACCATTGTATTTTATTTAACTAATTAAAAAAATCTGACACTATCATGGATTAAAATCGGTTTGTTTTATTTGGACTTTTTAAGAAGTGATTTGTGGGGAGATCACCTTTTTTAAATGTTGGGTAAAAATTCTACCTATAATATATACCAGAGGGAGACTTTGTACAAAAGTCGATTGCTTGGGTACCTCTGTCCCATTCGTGTTTCAACCGTGAAGCAGTTGTGTTTGCATAGCTGTGTTTCGGTTTGAAGAGTGGGATATGGCGTGAATTTACAGGGTACAGAGGAATAACACCTGAGTCCTCAGGAATGTCAACGCATGGGGAGTATCATGGGCGAAACAGTATACTCTGTTATGTCCATGTTACTGCTCATGTTTATAGGCGACGGTTACCACTTTCCATCGGGTGGGCCGTCAGCTTGTTTGCCATTCTAAGTTGTGTAAAAAAAATATTGATATACCTGTTTGCCAGTCTCCTTCGTTGAGAAGAGTGCTCGTTTGCCTTCTTCTGGAAGGTTCTGAGTGAGTTCCATCCCTGCCGCTTTTAGCTCATCACATTCTGCCGGCCTTAGGAAGTCTTCTATCACCACGTAACCGTCCTCCTCCAACTGTAAAATATAAGCAATTTTTGTTATTATATCTTTTCATACTGTAACGAACTCAAAATTATACATTAAATATTTTTAGAAATTTTTATTATCTAGATTCCTATATAGTGTATGTGAATGAAAAATGGTTATTAAAATTAAAAATGTACTTATGACTGACTATTTGTGTGTTAGTATTTTACATAAATACCTTTAAACCGATCGTGATGAAATTTTTACAGTATATTTATACTATATATGCTCTAAAAATATAAAATTTGCCCCCGAGGACCAAGTAGGTCAAATTAGTTCTTTTTTTAATTATAATCATATGGAGAATTATCTCCACTAGACAATAAATTATTTAAAAAAAATCATTTTTTTTAAACTCCAAACAAACAAATATAAGAACAAACTTCTATACAAAAACCTGGCTAGCGCAATAGAAAAGATAAGCACCCTGTAGTCAATCATGTTTATGGCTTGTCACTGTTATTAATTATCATTGTTAGTGATAACTTACAAATAAATATATTTAAATGCATAAAACATAAAATTATATTTTAATAGGTCGTCAACCCCCGCTTTATCAGCCCACGGATAAAACGTATATAGATAAAGTAATATTATTTTATGAAGATGAAACGTTCTATTTCGTAGAAAAATGTTAGCCGTGCTAAATTCTAGTGTACATATTTAAAGAATTCAAAATACATTTATAAACGCAAGCGGTTTCGAAATCAGCTGCTCGTTAAAAAGTATTTTAAATAACACCTATATAATAAAATCCCATTAAGAAAGTTCCATTAAGAAGGCGCAACACTAAACTATGAAGCTTACTAATGTTATATATAAGAAAAATGTTTCGACGTTTGTATATTTGTTACTCAATCACGCTTAAACGGCTGAACCGATTTGAATGCATGGTTCACGTATAGTTTATATCCTTAAATTATATAGATGGAGTGTCTCCATTGTAAATGCTTCTAGAAAAGCGGCTCAACTTTTCATACCATTTCGCGTGATAAATAGTCATGAGTGATTTCTTTATAACTTCTATATTTATTTTGTCCTTTATAAATTGTACTCCATTTTAATGCGCAAAAACTCATTTTATTTATTAAATAATCAAATATCGATACGTATATTGTATGCGTAAGTATATAGAACACTTATAAAAAAACGAGTCAGCTAATTAGCTGACAAAAAGTTAATACAGCATCAAGCAAAAACGGGCCAACTTTTAAACTTGACGTATTATTTAATAAACCAAACGAGTGTTTACATCTTAATGCAGAACTTAAAGACAAAATAAATATAGAAGTTATAAAAATATCACTCATAACTATTTATGACGCAAAATTATATGAAAAAGTTGACCCGTTTTCCTCGAAGCATTTCTATGAACACACTCTCTTTATATAATCTAAGCTAGTACAAGTATTAATTTATCCATAATGGGAAAGGCAAAAGAACTAAGCTATACAGCTTGATTTTATGTATTTCTCTTTCTGTGTTTTAGGAAAGCAGAGTTAGTATATTTTCTTTATTCATTAGAATGAATACAATCTATAACTCTTAAATTTTAGAACGATGCATAGAACAACAGATGCTATTTTTATTCTGTGGCAGAACTCTATTTAAGTCGCAAAGACTTAACTTACCAGAGGGAGACTTTGTACAAAAGTCGATTGCTTGGGTACCTCTGTCCCATTCGTGTTTCAATCGTAAAGCAGTTGTGTTTGCATAACTGTGTTTCGGTTTGAAGGGTGGGATATGGCGTGAATTTACTGGGTACGGAGGAATAACATCTGAGTCCTCAGGAATGGCAACGCATGGGGGGGGGGTATCATGGGCGAAACAGTATACTCTGTTATGTCCATGGTACTGCTCATGTCTATAGGCGACGGTTACCACTTTCCATCAGGTGGGCCGTCAGCTTGTTTGCCATTCTAAGTTCTATAAAAAAAAAAGATTGCGGATTTTTTTTAGTTAAGTCAGGACCTGTAAAAAAAAAAAAAAAACGATTTCCTAACATTTTTGTTTTTAATATAACATAATAATACTAAGTATCATTATGTAATCTACGCCTGCACATAACCAGGTGGCCTCATCGTCACCACAACAAAGCAGAGGAAAGCTTTTCAGCGTAAATGCGTTTTGCAACCACTTTATTCACGGATGAAGTCGCAGACGGGTTGTAATTTATTTAGTTATGCCACTTTAGACGTTTGCGAAGACGTAAGGGTTAGTTCAGAGTAATGTTTCTATTAATATAGAAAGTAAATTATAAATGAAATAGTGTGAAAAGGTTTTTTTTTAATTGTTAATCGATTTTAAAAGGATAGAGATTCTCAATTCGATTGTATCTTTTAATGTTTGTTACTTCATAACTCCGTCAAATTTTAAACTAATTTGAAAAAAAAAATATATGTTTTTATGTGAAAGGACTTACAGAGTTTTATGAAAATCGATATAGTAGTTTAGTTTTTAAATCGTAATAACTGTTTTTTTTTGGGCACAATTTTTAATTATTTAGGTAAATATCTGAACTAATTTGCGCATTTGATCATATACTGGATCGGTACATAAGATACTTATTTTAATTTGCTCAGTAAAAGACGCTTTATATATTTAGTACTATTTTGTTTTATTTACATTATTTAAAATGTAAATTAAACAAAGTATATATAATACACAAATCCTTTATTTAATATACATTTAAATATCTGTTATTAGTAAAAAAAATCTTATTTACGTTAAATTATATTATAATTAGGAAACAGAAGACAATATGACTCTACTGGTAGATACAATCTATAATTAATTTTAATTGTAAATATATTTTATTATTTTTTTATTTATAAGTTAGTAGTAAAGATGTAAATATAAAATCCTATATATAAAAACCGCCTCGTCAGCGTGGTAATAGCCATATTTTTTTTATATCTGATATCATTTCAGATTAGCACATTGATGATAACAATAATGTTGTTTATTAAGAAAAAAAATCTAAGAGCTCTCAAATTAAGAGCAATATTTGAAACAAAGAAAGAAAGGAAAATATTTATATCGTGCATAAACTAAAGAATATTTCTCGTGTAATATAAAATTTATAAATCAGACACAATCTTATTAATTTACACATGTTGTTATTTAAAAAGTGCATTTTTCTTAAATCGAAGAAACACACAGTGTACATTTCACCTAGGTCATTGTGCTTGTAATATCAGTGAGAACTCATCTTAAAGAGGGCGAGAAAATTACAATTTATATAGAACAAAGTTCTCTTATAATAAAAGCAAATATTTCTATAAAAATAACTCTTTCACTGGCCATGTATTGATTTTGCAAAAGAAAGTAATATCTGCAATGAAATGAAGCTTTATTTAATAACACATAAAGTGTGAATTTAAAAAATAAAAGAAAATATTTTTAATTTATTACTTTTTTTCTATTAATTGTAGCCATGTGGTCCCGGCATAGGATAAGCCATCCATTCATTTACCGCGGACGTCGTAAGAGGTAACAAAGGGAACTTAATAATCGAGGGATGGGCAGCAGCGTCCCTCTTAAAACATCACCTAGCCTAACTGTGGTTGTTAATTCGCTTGCCAAGCGTAGCAACTACTGACAAACTCTCCTTATGAGAGAGACCTATGTTCAGCAGTGAACAGATATGATAATTATGTGGCTAGAACGAAGCTGGTCATGATCATATCTCATAAAGTCTGTGCGTCATGTATGCACTTCATCATGAAAATGCGATAATTATTAGTACAGTCACACTCTCCACAGATAGACCAAACAGTCATAAAATAACTAGTTTTATTGAATACATGAATAGATATTGTATATTTACATATCCATTTGCCAAAGATATGTGTAAACACGGGGCTGCCGTTTCAGCCGAACAAACGCCGAGTAGGAGTCCCGCTAGTTCGCCCCCACGTGGTCGTACTATTTCGGTACACGCTTTGGTTATTTTTGTGAGCTTATTTCAATGTTACGCGATGCGGAGGGCCTTGTGTACGGCCACCGTAAAAATTAATATGATATTGTTTTACTGTTGAAAATTTATTGTTTATTGGGCGTTTCCCAAGAGTTTTCAGCGACCCGATGTTGTATGAACGTAATAATTTTTGGGAACTTTTTTTTTTAGAAGTTAGAGTTACATAACGTGATGTTTCTAAAGTCCGTAATTTCTATCGCATGGTGATCATTTGATCAGTTTATACCTACTTTTGTATGTGTATCAATTGTATTTAATTTTTTTTTTTAAATTACCTTTAGTAAAAAGATATGAACCTCAGGATGATTTAATAAAAAGATATGAACTCTAGAAATTGCTTTTTAGAGTTTTTCCTGTATAAACATGGAACTTTCAAAATAGTTAAACATTCATACAAATTAGAATATCTGCATTAACCTGTTTTGAATAGCAACTAAAATGCCTTGCTATCACTTAATTAAACTATTGTGGGGGAATGGGACTGTTAGCATCTAATGTGATCTGATAGGCCAATTAATAGCAATATACCCTAATCGGTCGACCTCCACGTGGTTTCCATCGTGATTAATTTGTAATGATTTTTCAGATTGGCTTAACTGATCTCATCCTCATCTATCATCTCACCTCATCTCACTTTTTTCAGTTTCGTTATCACGCAATTGGAGTTATCTATATTATTTTCCTACATTATAATTAAATTGTTATGAATTCCACTTAGTTTGATTTGAATGCAAGAAACAAAGTAATTTTGTAATGAAACATTGTCTAATATTTCACGTGAATTTTATTTATTGAGATCATAGTTTGCTTACGTTGCATAATAGCTAGGTTAATTATAAGTTAGTTTACGTATTCTAAAATAATTTATCGCAATTCTCACTACGAGTATAATTTCTGTGCTTGGCATATTTAGTACATAATCTAGATTTTTTATAGCAGTGTAGTTAATTACAGGTTTAGCTTCTATTGAATATAGGCACGAGGTATATGTAATGTTAGGTTAATTATT